GAGAGAACGCGTGTGCTAGAGTGTGGACGGTGCGCTCGTGTCGCCTCGCCTCGCCTCGCTAGCGCTCCGCTCTCTGTCGGTCTTTTGAGCGCGAGTCAAAAGACGCGAGAGGGCGAGGCGAGGGAGTCAACCACATCTCCCGCTCGCTTACTTATTTGTTGACTGCTGCCGTCCATCTTGCACTAGATGTAACGACTAACTAAATAAAATGGAGAGTGTGGATGACTACCACTCGTGCAGTCTCCGCTCGCCAAGACTCGTGGCAAGAGCCTCTAGGAGGCGCCTCGCGAGAGTCTGGAGGCGTCATAAGAAGTATTTCTGTTGTTGTCTCTTTCGTTTAGATTATTAATTTTTCATGGCCATATAGTATTTCAAGAAAATGCGACGTCTACCTATTTGGGCTATGGTTATTCGGAAATCAGGTTGTGGATTACCGAAACACGATTGCGAACGTGACGATTTTTTCATATGAGATGGTTCGTGAGGTCCAATACGCTTCATAGAAAAAATATTAGAAACATAGTCTGACTCCGTGGGGACCACACGATCCGTTGGTTATTACCATACAGCCGTACACTGCTACTATTACGAACGACCCCGTTAAAATATATTTTTTTTGTTATATATGAGGCTGCTAGCGGCCGAGTGGCCTAATAACAAAAAAATATGATTTTCAAGGAGAAAAAAAATGCGAAATTAACTTAGGAAAAAAAGGAATTTGTACTACATATTATTTTTGTAAAAATTCTGTTAACAATTTTCGGCCATTGTGCTGATTTACATTTCTCGACTGTGAAAAAAGGTCAAGTCATAATTGCAGTTAGGCTACTCTGGCTCTAGCTGCCTCATGTGCAACTACGACAGATTACCGCTATTACTAATTTATAAAAAAACTTAGCTGTGTGACTAAAGTCACTGCAATCAAATTACCTTCAGCTGAGCGAAACAATGCCTTGACATACCTTCTAAGGCGAGGAGAAACAATATTTTTCCTGCTACCTTTTACTGACGAAAACTAAGCCGTAATTATTTTATATGTTATATATTAATGTTTTATTGATATCGCTCGTAAAGTAACCTCACCGTCACTTTTACGGTAATTGCATAACGGTTTGATACCGGTTTTTAAGTGGTTTCCAAAAAAATATGAAATCGCTTATTCGAACGATCAGTCAAGTCATACTTGCTTGAAGCTATGCGAATTGCCGAGTTGCGAATTATTATATGTACTGTGTCGTGTATACAATTAACCCTTACATGACCATAAAATAAACTAAGCTAGACTAAATAGGCAAATATACAATATTTCAGCTGTTTTGGGTGTAAAGTAAGAGATTAACGCTAGAATAGCAGGTTGTATACAATTCCTGCAGTTTCATATGTCTTATTTTGACTTTTATAAAAAATATCGGTTCAATAATAATTGAAAAATCGATAGCGATTACTGTGAAGGAATGCTGCATAATACAAATAACGATGGCGGTCGTTGGAGTCCTTGCCAAAGTGTATAAATGCAAGTTCATAGTAACGAAGACATTCGAGATTTGTGATTTCACTTCATTAGTATACACTAAAATTATATAGCTGAAGTGTTTGTTTGAACGCGCTAATCTCAGGAACGTCTGATTCGAATTGAACCATTTGCGCACGCAGCAGGTCAACTAAACGTCCGATGTTTTATTGTCTAAAACCTTTCTCGACAAATGTTCTAAACAACATAATTTTCAGTTCAAACTAATTGTACATGAGATAAGCACTTCCAAACAAACTCTTCAACTTTATAATATTAGTATAAATATATTTATGTAAAATAAAATTCTTAATCCTAGACCAAAATCGAGGAGTATAAAGGATAGTACAATTAATATCGAACCTTAATAATATATGGTTATGTATTTTATGGACGCAGATAGTTCTACAGACATATTATATCATCGGAAATCACGCGCAGGTTATAAGTGACTTCCGATCCGAATAGATCGTTATAAGTAGGTCGGTAGGTGTTCACCAAATTATATATTTCGGAAAGATTAATTAATTACTACTATTTATAAAGTACTTTAATATTAATAAATTATACAATTCAATAAATTTGAAGCTCATTTTTATATTATTGTTATAAGTTTAAGTGAGTACATTTTTTTGCTGTCACGCGTACATTTTTTGCTCGGCGGTTGCTTGGATATTTAGCTATGAAGCTAAATAAGAAAAGGTACGGGTCCTAAGACTTTCAAAATGTACGAAACGTAAAAAAAAATGTAGTTAAAAATCCTATTAAGAACTTATGTTCTTCACCTTGATATGTGAAATGACCGCTAAGTATTATGATGTATGCTTTGGCTATTGACATAGAAAACAAAAGTGACATCTAAATTGGTACCAAGTCAGACATAAAACGTAGTCATAACAACAAATTTTTATAACTTACTATAATATATTGTGGCATGTAGTCATGCTTTATACGTAATAGATTTCTTGTTATGAGGAGCAGAAAACTATACTCACGTTCCTCGCCAGTTCACTTGAACTTGGCTGCCCCGTGTCTAGATTAAAACCATTAAACGTTAATCATATCGTAACGTTCTTCGAAATCGTTGTTTAATTCCCCCCCCCCGCGACTACGTCTGCTGCATAGCATCCCAAACGTCAAAATAGTAGATAATAAGTTTCACTAATACATTACGTGTTTTAAACCGTTAAACGCGTTTTATTAAAATGTGTACCACTCGCGTAAACTACAGACAGAGCTCAATTATCGTGTCTTTGAATTGAAGAAAGACCATGAGTAATTGTCGGCAAAGATTTCGTTTCGTTGTTTTGTATGTTAACGAAATCTTTTAAATATCGCCGATACAAAATGGGGGATTACATATTTTTTACAACACTTTAACGGTATAAACGCGAAATAATATATTAAAATAAAATTAATTCGAATTATTTTAACCAGTCCCGACGTTTCGAACTTTGCAGCAGCTGTGGTCACGGGGAGACCTTTAGCCGTTAAAATGTTTTATTAAAAAAAAATCTTCTCTAAATATTTTCTGGTACCTTAAATTATTTTATATAACTGTCTCTAATATAATACATATCGTAACCTTCATGTCGTTCAATACATACATAGATGGAGTTCGTAATGGTTTTAGGAGTGAGCTGTTTCGTCTGCCAACTTACTCCTCTATATTATTAATGATGGAGTTCAAATGCTTATCGGCTTTCATAAAGTCCCGGTCCAGTTGAAACTGGATTCTAGTCGACTCTTATGAACGAGGAATTCGGAACGCGACCACTCGCTCTAAATTTAACTCAAGCAATGGAACAATTGAATTTAATCTGTCAATAAGAGTGTTCTTCTCATAATTTTGCGCGTCGCTACGGATTTTATATATGAACTGTGCAGTACTTATACTATACTGCATATTTTTTATGTTAAAGGACAGACGGGCATGATGTGAAATGGCAGTCATATAAAATTTCTGACTACCCACTTTAGGCTTTTTTGAGTATATGGAACCGTTTTCGTAGCGTACGTAACGGAATCCCACAAGGAGAAATAATTTTCCCCGTTTGTTTCTTTTCATATTCCGCCGTTTCTTCGCTCCTATAAGTCACAACGAGATGTTCTAAAGTGCATCGATAATTGCTCTGTCCAACACAAAAAGATTTATTCAATTCGAACCAGTAGTTCCTGAGATAAGCGCGTTCAAACAAACAAACTCTTTCAGCTTTATATATTAGTACAGATTTATTCTCATTTGACAGCTAGACATTTATTTAGTTGATATTTTTAAGTTGTAATGCAATACACAATTATCTAAGTCACGCTCGCATTATTGGTTTCCAAACCGTATGCCCAGTTTTACTCAAATACGTCATGTAGTAGTATCTACGTGCAGGAAACATCTAACCTTGACATTTTCACATTGCATTGCAATTTCCGTCGTTTTCCCGTTTTGCTTTAAAAGATTTGACATTTTTCTTTTTATTTAAACGGTTTTGTTTAGCTGGACTCATACGGAATTTATTTATTTGGCTCAAAATTAGAAATTGAAATTTAAGCACTTTCCCGTTGTCAGATAGATCTAAAATTTGGTATACATATTTAATTTAGATGACAATACAATATAATAAAATCAATTATATTATAAATCTAAGAGGGCCGCCGATACAAAAGGCGGATTAATATTTTTCATTAACATTATTATAGGAATCAAATGAAAGGGCTACACTAGGAAAACACGATGATTGTGTCAAAATTTTTTTTGTAGTTTTCTGTGCACAAAAAATAAAACCGTTTAATTTAAAAGTTTTTTTTAAGTTGATACTTGTTAAAATGTAAGTTAGATTCAATTATTTGACGTAAATTTTGTTTCCATTTTTTGAATAAAAAAATTTGATTGTCTCAAAAGGCGTATTATTGTCTGTACGATTTCTTTAATGACAAGACCGTCTGGCAGTAATATGAATTGCTCCTTAGGTTGAATAAATTCACAACAATGAATGCTTTAAAAGACATGTTCTTTTCAGTTATTTTGCTTTTTTTGAACACTCTGTAGAATCACGACGAACAGACAGACAAACGAAATTCTTTTTTTGACGAATCTAAATAATTTTAAATAGAATAAAGTATATTTTATTTTATGACCAATGAAAATATTTTTAGCGTTGTTTTTCTTTACTTCTTATAAATCTAACAAACAAATGATACCATTTCACCGGATTTGAACACGATGTATATATATAAAAATATATATTTATGCTCATGTGCAACTTCACAAAATAATCAATGTCAATCCAAATTTGTTTTTTTCAATAAATTTAAAAAAAAATCCTTTTACATGTATCTGGGACACTTGTAAATATTACAGTTAAAAACAGAATTCTGAATTTATATTTACAATGATTTTAGAGTAATTTTTGTTTAATAACGTCACGTGTTAGTTGATTATCTTATTCAGAAATACTGCTTTGATTTCGATATTAATATATTTAATTTTTTTCAGAAACTACCGTATCCAAAATCGGTTGCGTTCATTGTCACGAATGAGTTCTGCGAGAGATTCTCCTACTATGGCATGCGAAGTAAGTATTAAATCTAGATCTAAACTTTTTTTAATAGTTCCCACTACTGGGATTCAATAGGCCCAAATCTTATGCCCACGTGTTGCCGAATTTTGGTTGTAGGTCTTTCCGATTTCTTAACATTTTATTAAGCCCCAGAGCACTCGTCATAATGAAGAGAATTTTGTATTACACGACTGAGTATCAAACAGCAGACCCCACGTAAGGGAGTAATTTACATACACAGTAAACATGAGAAGGATAGGTTCGAATAATGATGAAACAAAATTGTTTACTGTGTATTTAAATAAAACACTTTAACACTTTTGAAAATGATTTCCAATTATTGACTCCCCGTGACCACGGCTGTAGTTGAAATAATTCTCATGAATTTAACTAATATATATCGCGTTTTAAGTTTTAACAAAGTATTTATTTGTGTACTACTCGCGTAAACTACAGTCAGGGGTTTTTGCTCTGTATTTGTAATTAAATAAAATCGATCAATAGTATATAGAAATGACGCAAACTGCCCCAAGGGGGTGGGGGAAGGGGGATTGGGAATTCACTTTTTTCTCTGTCTAGAGGTGATAATTAGGACGCGGTAATTCCCAGTGATTCATCCGAACGTACTGTATGCTGTGCGTTCTCTTAAGTACTAACTAATGAGTGAACATCAAGAATAGTATAACATAAATTAACCATTGTTTTCAACTAAATACCAGAAACTCAACAATAGTGTAACTCGTGCGCTGTTTAATGAAATTACGATAACAAAGCACAATATTTCATTTATAATAATTCTAGCTTACGTGAGACGGTCTCTTACATAATGTGTTTGGAAAAGTAATTAAAGAAAATAAGAACACTTTAAGACTAATTGCAAACTTATAACTCTTAAATGGCTGTATATACATTGGTATAATTTTGATTTAGGAACTTTTATACCTCCTCTAATGTAGGATAAAAACATTAAGGTTTTGTTTTTCGTATTTATTTAAAAGAATTTTAAAATATTTCAATCTAAATCACGTCTCGCAAATAATGATGAGTTTGCTTTGCTTAGTTACAAAGGAGTGGTCACGGGTGGACAGACGACACTTCAACGGTTTAAACGGAAGTGTATATTATCGACGTGCTTAGACCGTTTCAATTATACGGCCGCTCCAAATTTCGGATGCTTTGCAGCAGGAGTGGTCACGGTGACTAGCGAGACGGAGTGTATATTCGTCGTCTTAGACCGTTTAAGTGTATATGGTCTGAACATATAAAATAACGACGATATAAGCTTGAATTTACATCATATTTTGAACAGGATAGAAATAATGTTATAATTATATATAGTATTAAAAAGTTTTTTCTTTTAGCTATCCTTTCTTTGTACCTCCGTGACAAATTGGGGTATACTGACAACGGAGCGACGGTCATCTACCATGTGTTCACGATGTTTGCGTATTTCTTCCCGTTACTTGGAGCCATGATCGCTGACAGCTGGTTGGGAAGATTCAGGTATAGAAAGCTACACTAAAATCTGTTTAGTAGTCGTGAAAGGGTGACTCTTTGATTCAAACATCAATTAATAACAAGATATAGTTAACAAGATTATAGTCCAGACCAATTAGTCGTTAAAATAGAGGTAATGTTACAATAATTCCCATAGAGCTAAAAATAATATTATTATAAATGAACTGTGAAAAGTGCCCCCCCCCCTGTGTCGACCCCCCTTTTTATTCCCGGTGATGGCGAAATGGGACGCGTTTTTTAACTGAACGGTGGGTTTTACAACAAAAATGATTCATATATAAATTATAGATCATCGGATTCTTTACAATAAATATTTGGTCACTTTTTTAATAACGATCATAAGGATGGAATAAAAAAAATATATCGGACTATAATTTGATTGGCCTATTAGTACTACACATTCACGGTGCGGTTGTGGTTTTCCAAAACCACAGCTCCGATTAATTTATAGTTGAAGAGTTCGTGGTGAAAAACTATGCGCACGTATCAATCACAAAAACATTTAATAGACTCTCCGACTATAAAAAATAAGGGGTTACACTCGCTCAGACTCTGTGACTAAATTATTAAACATGTTGCCTAGCATTACGTTAAACGCGAGAGAGAGGTCGTGAGTTCAACTCCCGTGAAACAATAAATAGTTTCGGTCGGGTAGGGCACAGAAGTCATATCAGCTATTGCCTATAAATAAAAACCGATAAGTTAAACAGACACAGATATGTGTCGGTATGGGATTTCACACAATCTCACCAAAATTAAAACATGAATAGAATTGTATGCTTTTTTTACAAAATTTAGTTGTGAAAATGTTTAAATACAACATTTTAACGGTTTAAAAGACGATATATATTAGTTGAACATATTTCAAAAATTATGTTAACTACGGCGCGTCGTCTCCCCGTGACCACGGCTGATGCAAAGCATCCGAAACGGCAGGCCGTAGTTAACATAATTTTTGAAATATGTTTAACTAATATATATCGCGTTATAAACTTATTTTATTTAAACCGTTAAAGTGTTTTATTTAAATACAACAATATAGGCCATATTTTCATAGTAGGTATATATATGGACTATGCTAATATGTTAGTTTTAAGTGACGACTGCCTTCACCTAAATAAAAACCAGTTTAGTCTTTAAATACTAACAAATTGTAAAAGGAGGGTACATACATAAATAACTTATACAGTCCTTGCAAAGTAGGTAATCTTGTATAAATGTGATAATATTTCTATACTGTTAATAATACTATACGTGAGTAGTACACATTTGAATAAAACACTTCAACGGTTTAAAACGCGATATTTATAAAGTTACTTTTAAATAAGTGTAAAAAATATACCTATCGCGTTTTAAACCGTTAGTGTTTTATTTAAATAATAATTCTGTTATACATTTTGGGTATCTTGAACAGCGCAGACAATCGAAAACCTCAAAGAAAATTTTCATCGTTTTCTCCACATTCAACATAAAAATATGTTTTCAATTCTAACCATTCGTTCCTGAGATTAGCGCGTTCAAAGAAATAAACTATTCAGCTTTATAATATTACTATAGATACCTTTTGAAAAGGCCTAATTTAAGTACATACTAATATACTTGTTACCGATTAATACTTTCGTTTTATTTATTCATTATCTGTCCTAATATATAAAGCGGAAGAGTTTGTTTGTTTGAATGCGCCAATCTCAGGAACTACCTACTAGTTTGAATTGAAAAATTATTTTTGGGGTAGGTAAAGCAATTATCGAGAAAGGCTATATTTATGCTTACTTGTCGTCTTTTATTTAACTAGCTATGTCAGCAACTTCGTCTGCGTAGAATAGTAATTTTGGGCATATACATTTTTTTACAAACATCTTCATCGCGTCCCGTCGTTCTTGTAAGTTAATCTTATAAGATAGATAGTATTTACCGTTAAAAGTGTTTTACTTAGTGAACGACATTTTGTTTTATCCCTTTTCCGTTATGTACCTTATTTATTGTGTAAACTACAACCTATTGTTTATTTTATTGCAGAACGATTTTCTACCTGTCATTGGTTTATGCTGCGGGAAGTATCCTAATATCTCTAACCGCTATACCACCTTTAGGGCTGCCACAAATGTAAGTATATTTTAATTCATTAAAATAACACTTAAGTAAACTGGGACAATACGAGTGGAAAATCCTGTTTTATAACTCATTTGATTGAAAATTTCGTTTTTGCGAGGTATTTGTGTAGGACTCGGTACCTCAATTGGTTAGAGCAACAGATGCCGGTTCAAGTCCTGCCCGAGTCGTATTTTTAATATTTTTGATTTATATAATTCATTTGTCTTTAGGGAAATCACTATTATGGCACTCCTGTTGGTTGCCTTCGGTACTGGTGGAATTAAGCCCTGCGTCTCCGCTTTCGGTGGGGACCAGTTCAAACTACCAGAACAAGAGAGATACTTGGGATACTTCTTCTCTCTCTTCTACTTCTCGATCAATGCTGGAAGTCTTATATCGACTTTCTTGACACCGATTCTGAGGGCTGATGTCCACTGCTTTGGAGATCAGGACTGTTACTCGCTGGCCTTCGGTGTACCTGGAATTCTTATGATCGTGTCTATAAGTAAGTTAACTCATAAGGCTAGCTAGCTATATTTATAAGGCTGGGAAGCTTCTACTTTTGTTTGCTCTAATCTATAATTATATTACAAAGCTGAGAATGTTGTTTGTTTGATCACGCTAATCTCAGGAACTACTGTTTGAAATTTAAAAAATCTTGTTGTGCTGGATAGACCATTTATCGAAGAAGCTGCAAAAAATGATTGATTTGTAATTTTCCACTACGTTGGGGATAAAGCGCAAATTAATGTGAAGGTTGGCAATACTTAGTCCAATGACTTAAGCATAATATAACATCATAAAAGACAACATTGTGTCCCTGTGGTTCTTTACCTTCTATAAACAGGGTCAATAATACGTTTTAATCTTTTATCAAAGTATCCACTTCAGATAAAATAAAACGGGGAATTCATATAAGAATTTAATGAACTTCTATATCAAATTTTAATAACACGGGGAAAGAACGGACTTTTTTTATACATTCTGTCTTAAATATTCATAACGTTCGAAGCGAAACAATTTATTTTAGTGTTAAATTTCCTTCCGGGGCATGGGGCATAGAGCTTAAATGTTTCCGTGTCCGTTCGATTTTGATTTTATTTACAGGCAAGTAACTAATCAGGTTATGCCCTGCCCGGCCGAAACAATTGTTTGCCCAAAAACAGGATCGTGGTAAACGCAATGTTAGGCGATTCGTTTAACCACAGAAATATGGAAGGGAACAAAAACTTGCTTCTAATTTTTTTTTTAATTCTCAGTCTTCTTCGTCGCCGGGAAGAGACTATATATTATTAAGAAGCCCTCTGGAAACATTATTGGAAAAGTCTTTACCTGCATTGGAGTAAGTACATCAAAACGTCATGAAAAATTCACATTTGTTCATATGAATATTTATACACTGTATTTTTCACGAAAGTAGCTTCGTTAACATCAAATTTAATCGACATTGACAAAAGCGTTCGAAATTTAAAAGTAACTCAATAGACTGGACTCTCGGTAATACGACCCTTGCCATATTCTAACTTATCGCGAGTTCTCTACAAAATCTATCTATTTTATGCACGAAAAAAACATTACCAAATAACAACTCGCCCCAATTCAAACTCATTGACGTCCAATACTCGACAGTTCAAAGTTGCACAGAGAAAGAGACGCAAACCAATTCGTTTGAAGACTTTAACAATGAAAGTCGAAATTTATTTTATATTTTGAATCTATATAGAGCATGTAAAAATATTAAAGTTTTCAAACGAATTGGTTTGTTTAGTTAAAATCTAGTTAATGCCACTATGTTCTAACGAAGGAATGAAACATACCAATACAGATTAAAAGTTAAATAATAAGTTATCAACGATTAGTATAATTCTAGGTTTTAATTTACATGATTCAAACACTCGATAATTCGTAATATTTAAAGAGACCTTTTCGAATTACCGAGACTCGACTGTATTTATTTCAGTAATTTTCTAAGAGATATTTTACTTTTAGCACGCCATAGTCAGATCGGTGAAGAGTCGCAACAAGAGGGAACACTGGTTAGACCATGCTGATGATAAATATGACACGAGCCTTATTGAAGATGTCAAGTCTTTGTTAAGAGTACTAGTTCTCTTTATCCCGCTTCCTGTCTTCTGGGCCTTGTTCGATCAGCAGGTAATTAACTAAAATCACGAAAAAAATTCTAAGTAGATAAAAATCGGAAGTCATCAAGTCAATCGTGCGATCGGGAGTTCGATGTCGCGGTGTGCAAAGAATTCGTCTTTGTGGACTTTAACACCCGGTCGGTGGTAATTATCTTGGTAGATGAAGGCCTAAATCCTTATAGGAGATCTGCATCTTAATGTTAACTGCAGCGAGAACCATGCGATGGCTGATGATGAAGAAAATTTTTGTGTTTGTTTATCTTAATGTCTGCTTATACACGTTAAATAAACAATTTTCACGTTTTAATAAATCACTTTTAAGTGTTTAAAACGCGAAATATATTAGTTAACTTATTTATAATTTACTTCCCATAATAATGTATTTTTTTTATGTTAGAGGAGGTCAAGCGTGGTTTTCACTTGATGGTAGCTAAATACCCCACCCATAACATCTAATTAAATTATTATACCTATTTTAGTTGAGTGAATTTGTCAAAAAGGCTCGCGCTACACCACTTCAAACCATAAGATGGTCATTTCCTTCTTATAACACATTTATAAATCTTTTGATTTCAGGGTTCCAGGTGGACCTTCCAGGCTGATAGAATGGAACAAGACTTAGGTAGCTGGACTTTGAAGGCTGATCAAATGCAAGTACTTAATCCGCTGTTGATCCTCATATTCATTCCGCTGTTCGAAGTTGTAAGTATATACACGAAATAGAGTAAGCATGTACTTTTAAAGTTAAACAATTTATCGGTTTAAAACGCGATCTATATTAATTAAATTAGTTTTAACTACAGAACAATGTTTCGGAATCTTTGCAGCACTTTTAAACCGTTAAGAGTGTTTTATTTAGCATCTATTTTATATTGATTTTATTCATGGTCATGGATTCGAGTCCAGCATAATTATCAAAATAACTGAAACATGAGATGACATTATTTTAATTGAAATTAAATACAAGTTATTATTGTTATGTTTAGTGTTATTAAAAATAGCGCGAATTAGCTTCATATTGTGTGTTGCATTTTTTTTCTCGATGGATGAAGTTCGTATTTTCGCTCGACGGAAACTGATAACGAATTCTATGATTTGTTCATTTTAACGTTAATTCGTGCTTACTTTCAAAGATAAGATATTTCCCGACTACAATTACTTATTAGTAGGTTTAAATGAAGCTTATACATAATTTATGTAAATACTATTTGTAAAATGTCTTATTAATTTAAATAAAACACGTTTAACGGTCTAAAACTAAATATATAATTTAAGTAATAACTAATTTAAAAATTTTATTTGCATATTTATTGGTTAGTCTTATCATTTAAATAAAACACTTTTAACGGTTTAAAACGCGAAAAACATTAGTTATCTTGCTTACAATTTATTTTGACTGCTGCAAGGCATCCAAAACGTTGGATCGTAGTAACAATATTATTTTTACAATTAATTATTTAACGTACAATAAACTATTATATACCGCGTTTTAAACCGTTAAAAGCGGTTACTTTCAATGAGTACTATTCGTCGACAGCCAAATTTTCCTTTCATAAGTAAGTTAGTTTAGTTTCCTTCTATAATTTCCGATGAATATGATTTTCAGGCCATTTACCCATTCTTGACCTGGTGCAGAGTGATAAGGAAACCTTTGCACAAAATGATTTGGGGAGGGGTTCTAGCGGCGTTGGCTTTTGTTATCTCTGGCGTTGTCGAACTTAATCTTTTGGTAAGAATTATTTAATCGCTATAAACTTTCTTAACCTATCTGTCTTCGACAAGTGGTCCTAATTATCGGGAAACGTGTTTCGATATTGTCTGAACATCTTCTACTTGTATTTCGAGCTGTTCGAAAGGAATTTCTTTGTGTGTTTGAACGCGCTAATCTTAGGAACTACTGGATCTAATTGTAAATTATTTTTGTGTTGGCTAGAGCACTTATCGGAAGGCTTTAGGCTATAAAACAACAGGCTGCGACCAAAGGTAGAAAAGAGACTAGGAAATGTAATAAAAATGGCGAAAAATATTCATTCTTTGAGGTTTTTCGTTACGTGCGCTTCGAAAATGGTTCAAGATACCTAAAAATTCTGTATTTATAATGATTATTATTTTTTAATTATAAAAAATAATATAATAGACTCGAATACAGATATAGGTCTTGTCTGCGGTAGCAGGTAGGGTCTGGAGCAAATATCTACTCTACCATACGCTTCTATAGTAATTACAATGCAAGTGTCTTTGTAACAACCAAGTTGGAAAACTAGGCGATGTATCTATTTTTTATGACAACTTTTAGCCAACATATGGAACACCTGTGGCTCCCGGCTTAGCTCAACTGAGAGTGTACAATGGCTTCAACTGCAATTTCACATTGAACATACCGAATCAACCAGGCGAAAACAACACGGAAAACTTCGTAATTGGACCTCTTGGTGTTTTCGAAAAATTGGACGTTCAGGCTAAAGATTTCGTCGAGTTCCCATACTCTCTCAGTGGACAGGGTAACAGTGCTTGCGCCAATAAATTATATAATGGCAACTTTCCACTCACGGAGAAAACAGCTAACTCATTCTTCATAACCAATGAAACAGTTTACAGTTTCGCTGATAACAATGATAAGGCGATTGGAGGTGCTAATGTTAGGTAAGTTGGTTTATTGTTTGGACGACAGGGCGTACATAACAACTTAGAATTAATTAAATATAATACTTTAACGGTTTAAAATACGAATTAGTTAAGCTTATATTAAAATACTTATTAATTATTTAATTAACTACGATCCGACGTTTCGAATGCTTTGCTTCGCTACATAATTTAAATAAGCTTAACTATATTTCGCGTTTTATTTAAATGTGTACAACTCGCGGCAAATACAGTCAGTATTTCAAATCTAATAATTTATTCCACTCACACGAAAAATACAATAACATAAATAATAAAGTGGTATTTGTAAAGCCTTTAACCTAAAAATACACTGATATATCCAAATTCAATGTTATTGATTAGAGTTCATCTTTATAATGTGTACCACAAGCTTCATTAGAGTAGTATTTCCCATACAAATCGTTCCAAAATTCAAACATTTCCCGTTCTGCTCTAGAGTCGACCAATTTATTGTTCTTTCCAAAAAAGAATACTTTATCGCCGTCTTTTGTCATCGGCGACCACGTTACATTGTGATCAGCGTTCGTAGGTGCTCCGAACTTTGCAAAGTTGGCCCACATCTCTGCGATTTGTGTAATAAAAACCCTGTCGCGATGTTGCGAATCTTGTTTGAGTCTTACGTAATACTCCCAAAGCGGGTCACATTTTAGGATGTAGCATATTTCGTCACCTTGCGCTGCGCCTTTTATTTTTCTACTTGCACCGGCTAGTGCGGTGGATTTTGCCGCATTAAAACCTCCTATATAGTTAAACTTGTATACGTACAAATCACTTCCCGTTACATTAATGTACGTTCTTATAAATTTGTATATAGGATATCTGTGAAGATCGGAGACATATTTGAGGAAATCGTCCAGAGAATCTTCGCCTATGTCTCGTCTAAAATACTTACGTCTAATCATATTCCCGATTTCTTCGTACTTTTGAGTTCCATATTTGTATTTGCATTGATTTGAAAATGGAACCATATACTTGAATTTGTTTAATGACTTCATATAATGCGGATTATGAATAAAGGGTAAAGCTTCGGTTATACCTTCTTGGCTTGTGAATCCCATCATTATAGGCGTGTCCTTGAGACGTTTAAAATTTTTCATGTTTATCACCTTTTCTGACATTAAATACCGTGGAGTATCTCCTTCGTTTATCGGCGTAAATGGAATAAGTGGTCTTTGAGCATTAATTAAATGTTTATTCGTGTATATTTTAGATGAATGAGCTACTATATCTTTAGACGGCACTGATGCTATGTCTGTAAATCCAGATAAATGAATAGCCTTCTCTAACTTGCTTCGTTCAAAAGTTTGATCACCTTGAAATAAGGATGGTGAAAATACAGATCCACTGTGTAGGATTGCTTTTGAAAATAGCGTTCGAAATTTGGTCATCATTAATAGAGATATCAATGTTGCCCCTGAACCACATCCCATTACAGTAACTCGGTTCTTGTCTCCGCCGAATTGCTCAATATTTCTCTTCACCCACTTTAAGCCCATAATTATATCCTTCAAACCCATATTCGTATGGTTATCTGTATCGTTCAGTTTTAGGTAACCAAAAACTGATATTCTATGTGTTAACGTAACTAGAATGACGTCATTGTCGATTAAAAAGTCTCCACCGTGGATGTGACTGAACGATGACGTAAAAGCGTATCCATGTATCCATAATATCACAGCTTTGGGATCACGTAGTCCAAATTTCGGGAGGTATGGAGTAAAAATATTCAAATGAAGACAATCTTCAAAACCATACATGCCATGCTTATGTACAATGTGTCCCTGGGCACAGGCTCCATGGTATTCCGTTGTTGCATCAATAAGTCGATTCGACGGCTTTAAAGCAACTGGATTCTTGAACCTCAACTTTCCTATAGGCGGCTGCGCATAAGGTACCCCATAAAATGCGTAGAAGACGTTTCCATTAAATACAGTCGCCTCAGTTGTCCCAGCGATCACTCCTTGTTTTATTTTCACTTCTACCCTACAAACTGTCACAGAAAATTGATATAAAACGTACAAAAATGTTACGAGCATTTTTAAAATAACATTGAATAACGCTTGATATAAGCCACTGTTGTGTAAAATTGGATTTATTGAAGCGTATCTATCAATCTCTGTTTTCAGATTCTTGTCGAACATAAATGAAATCGTGCCAATCAGAATAGTGAATGAAAAGAATAGGACTATACTGAATCTATTAAGTGATGATATGACTCAGAAAGCATTAGATAAAGGGACTTATGACATAGTTATTAACGAAGTGGTGGTTATGAAGGATGTGAAACTTCAACCCGGCGCTGTCTACACAATTAACGTTTTCGAAGAGGCAGGAACTTATGTATGTATCCAGTTTGTCTCAACATTTAAAAAAACTTGTTTTATAATTTAAAAATCGAACATAAATTGAAAAAATTTTCGACTTGGGCAGGACTTGGACCGGCATTGTCAGCGTTCCGTGCTGTTGCTCTACCAATTGAGCTACCGAGTCCTACAACTTATTGTCGAATTTTTTCAATTTATCGATACATGCCCCACTCGCGCAAAGTAATTTCCACCTTAAATGTGCACGCGGTAGGAGTGCCCAGGTTAACGTTATGTTATATTGTTAAGTTTTCCACATTGTATTTTTCAGGTGGCAAATATAGTGACGATAACACCACCAAACAGTGTCCACATTCTATGGCTGGTACCACAGTATGTAGTGATGACTATGGGTGAAGTTATGTTCTCTGTCACTGGTCTTGAATTTTCCTTCACACAAGCCCCGGCGAGCATGAAGTCCGTCCTACAATCTATTTGGTTGCTCACTGTTGCGTTCGGAAACTTGATCGTAATTTTAATTGTCCAAGGAAATGTTATGGACGCACAGGTCTGTATTAAATCGAATGTAAATTAAAACTCTATTTACTCAACCGTGACTTCCATTCACGTGTCATATAGATTTAGGAGCTGTTATCTGCATCAGCGTCATTGATATATATCAATGACGCTGAATGAGGCCGCTAGAGGCAGAGCCTAACTGCAATTTAAGACTTGAGTTATTTATATTTTCATAGTCTAAAAATGTCTGTATCGTCGTGTAATATACAAGAGCGCATTCACTGTAAATTGTTAACATAATTTTTACACAAATATAGTATGAAGTCATTTTCGCCTAAGTTCATTGCGCACTTTTAATTGTAAATAAAAAACATGATTTTTGTTTAAGGCTACTCTGCCTTTAGCAGCCTCATCATCATTTATTACAAATCAATAATATAATTACTTAATTTATTTGTTAAACGCAATTTATACGCAAATGGAGTAAGTTATTTCCAAACAGTAGCTTTCAATGAAAAAAGTTGACGACTTATAGAAAATATTAATTAAGATTTGTATTTAAAATATTTATTTAATTTTATTTATGTTTACAAATTTCTCTTCAAAATGCGAACATACAAATATATTTAAATAAAACACTTTAACAGTTTAAAACGACGTTTCAGTCTCCCCGTGACCACGGCTGCTGCAAAGCATCCGAAACGTCGGGCCGAAGTTAAAAATCATTTTCAATAAGTTTAACTAATATATCGCGTTTTCAACCGTTAAAGTGTTTTATTTAAATGTGTACTACTCGCGTAAACTATAAACAGTATATAAAAATATATAACATCATAGTTTATTTGCCTATAAATATTCTAAATTTGGTTCTTTAATACGCTTATAAAAACGGTTGCCAAAATAATATGTTCTTTTTTTCAGTGGAAAGAATTCTTCCTTTTCGCGGGGTTGATGTTAGCAGACATGCTAATATTCACAGTTATGGCTTTGAGGTACAAGTACGCCGAGGTGAAGTCAAGCACGGAACAACTTCCAGTAGAAGAATTGAGGAAACCAGAAAAAGAACAATAATAAAGACTAGTGTTATGAATAAGGTTTAACAATAAAAACTGTATTTATAATGTGATTTTAAATTAAATTTGTGTTAAGGAAGTTGACCAGTTATTTTATTATTTCGTTTTTGAGCGAAACTAAGTTCATTTAATTTATTACATCGTAAAAGATTTAATAGTTATTCTTAAAGGTATATACTTTTGATCTTATATGCATTCAGTTTAATGATTATTGGCTATGGAAAAAACAATATAGATCGTCCACTATTTTAAGAGATCGAGTTCTGGCGCTATTTTACACTGCCACATACAATTGCTGTCGTCAAGACGAGTATATTTTTAAAAAATATTCCACACTAAGTTCCCCTTTTTTAAGTTTCAGTAGCGTAAAATTTTGTTCGGAAATTAAATAATCAAGACTTTTTCAAATGTCGAAAAGTAAAATAGGTCGACAGCCATCTTGTTATTAGGGCTATATTACATCCCTTTCCGTCAAATCCATATTTTTCAAAAATCGAATGCATTGAAATACACACTTCGCCCACTCCAAACATCTCCTAGAGAACGCTAAAAAAGCAAACACACATTGTGGAATTGCACAATCTGGTTAAGTTAAATGGCGTGAACACATTAGACAATTGGTTTTGGATAATTTGTGTGTTGTTCCCATACATCCAGACGAGTGCCGCGGTCATATGACGTCGGTTAACCCTCGCGTTAGGAGCGAATGGGGAGCGAGTGCGGCTCTCAAACATTTTCGCGTAGCCATCGCCACTAATAAAATAAACACAGTATTATTTAACACTACAGCTACTGTAAAACATCCAAAACGTAATAAAACGTAACAAAGGATGTAATATAATTAAAAAAACACTCCATTTAAAAAAATAATATTCGATTAAATGTTAAATTATTTAAAAAAAACCAATTTTTTTCCCAGGAGCGGAAGGCTCTCCCCCTACCCTGTGACCACAGCTACTGTAAAACATCCTAAACGTAATAAAACGTTACTGAATCATTAAAAAAACAATTAAAGGCTTAAAACTCACAATAAGTTAGTTAACTTTCCACTGATGAAATGCATCCGAAACGTGGATCCGTATTTTAAGTAAATTAAAAGTTATCTAATAGATTTTCCGTTTTAAACAGTTAAAAGTATTTTATTCTAAACTCGCGTAAACTACATAGAATACGTCGATTCATTAATAATGTAATGTTGCATTTCCTTGATCTCTAATTATTTATTTATAATCTAATAAAATAAAAATTGTCTTGAATTGTATATTAATAAATATGACAAATATCTTATTTGATTGTTATTCAACTTTAATTATAAGCTTATGCAACACACAATACATTACATTTGAATAAGACATTTTGAATATATTTAAATAAATAATTAACTATCTTTTTTTATTCGCAAAAGCGTTAAAGTTTGAGAAGCACTGCACAAAACGAGTCTGCAGGCGACTTGTTAATAATTGCGTATAATAAATGCTTAAATACAACAAACAGACAGACAAATACGGGTAGGGGTGTACACAAAAAGTCCTATTTGGTTTCCGAGTACTGATATTGTATTATCTATATTGAGCTGTTTAAAAACCTAATCATTTCGACGTTTTCTTATCACATGAAATTTTCATTCGCAAATAAAACCAGTTCAATATTTTAAAGTGATAACGAAATTTGAAAACACTTGTTGTTGATATATCGGTCGGTAACAGATGAAACAGAATGTAGAACGTAAATTTTTATTTACTAGGATATCAATATTAATATATTGATATCCTTAACTATAATGTGCTAACTTTTCGTGCTTGTGTTGTGTTCGAGCACGTAATATTTAATATTTTTTGATGAAACCCTCTCGTAATCATAAAATTCATAAACGGACCATTTATATATATTTATACCGTTACACACAAAATTATAAGTTAAAAGGTTGACGATCGCACAATTGGTTATAGCAGCACAACGGAACGCTGTGGATGCAGAATCAAGTCCCGTCCGTTTCGTAATTTTTTTCAAGACATTTTATTTATATAATGGTTTTTTGTTGAGCGCGCAAACTCTTGCCCTCAAATCCTGGGTAAACATGTCTTTTCTGTCAGGCGAAATAAGTACGATCTACTATTTGCCCAATTTAAATAGACTCAAACGCGAAATATATTAGTTAACTTATTTTGTAATTTATTTTAACTACGACCCAACGTTTCGGATGCTTTGTTGCAACCATAGTCAAGTGGTCTTAATATTTTTATTAGAATTAGCATTAGAAATAAGCTTATATATTTTACTTATTATACCGTTAGACTGGTTTTTTATTAAACATAATTATAGTAAAATCGCTATGAGTGTGATTCCCAGATTAATAAAAGGATCTCAACTACGTTAGTGCTTGGTAAAGCGATCTTACATAGCGTCTACGATTATATATTATATCTTTACATATTTAAATAAACACTTTAACGGTTTAAAACGCGATATATATTCGTTAAACTTACTTAAGAAATATTTTTAATTTCGGCCTGACGGTTCGGATGGTTGCAGCAGCCGTAGTCACGGGGCCCTAGTACCTAATATAAGTATAACAAGTTTAGTTAATATGTATCGCGTTTTAAACCGTTAAAGTATTTATTTAAATCTGTACTACTCGCGTAAACTACAGACAGTATAGTATCCTTACCTATTGTCAAATTAAAATGAATTGCGTACTTCGTAAAATTATGAGGGTGCATCGATGTATGTTTTACGTAACTATTCATTTCATCGATGTACTCTGGGCAAATAATAAACGCATTTTTAAGTGTTTGTATGTGGCGGTCGATTGTACACGGCTATAAAAGCAGTTTTGAGGAAGGCGTCGGTACATGTTCCGGGCACTTGGTTAAGCGTGTGCCGGCCACGTGCCGCTTGTCTGAGCCACGCTCCCGACTTCGTTCTGTAAGCGCAGCTGTACCACGTGCTCGGTAGATAATCTTCAAGCATATGCAGCCAAATAAATAAATTAACTAGAGCTTCGAGTACAGTGGTTTTCTGGTAAGCTGCGCGGTTCTTTAATCTCATGAGAAAATTAAATTTTTTGATTGGTACAGTTTTAATCCGTTTTTGGTGTTATTTGATTTGTTTTGTTTGGTGTTAGGCAATAATTTAAATGCTAAATTGATGAAAAAAACCTTCGAACAATCGATTTTAGATTGATACGACAGGCAGACATCTGGTCAGCCAAATGGTGTTTTGTGCTGGTGATCTAACCATTAAAATTTTTTTGATTATAAAGGCGGACTTATTTTACCTAAACAAGATGCACTGTCGATTTATTTTACTTTTATTATATAGGCAATTAAATCTGTGTCTTCTGTACCGCCTCTGTAGCCATATGGTTAAACGTATTGCCTAGCATTGCGTTAAGCGCGAGAGGTCCTGGGTTCGAATCCCAGGGAAACAAAAAATTGTTTCGGTCTGGCAGGGCACAGAAGTCTGATCAACTACTTGCCCGTTAAAGAACGGAACGTGAAACGAACACAAAAATGAGTTCGCCCCATGCCCCACGAGGGGTAAACGGGAATTTACTAAACTTAACCCATTTAATATCCAGATTTCCAGACGAAGTCCAACATGTTTCAGAAAACATATGTATATATTGATTGTAAAAATGTTGACCTGGTGGAAATCGAACCCACGATTATTATGACTATTGAAACTTACATTGCTAGAATTACACCAACAAGTCGTTCAAGGTTTTTTTATTTATTAAAAGCTAAAGTTGGTACACAAAAATTAAGGATTAACAAACAATAATCCCCCGAAAAATTATCGCGAAGTTCGTCCGGGCTAGTTTAAAATAATAAATAGGCGGAGGTCAATTGAATTGGGTCGTACGCAAAGGTCCCGGCCATTAAGGGCGTGTCGTGTCACGCTGCAGTCACGTGACCCGACACTCGCAGACTCGAAAACCCGCCGACCCGATAGCACACATCTCCCTCGCCGCGACAAATCAATTACAGGCTCCGATGGGGACCCACTTCCGAACGCGAATTAGCACCAAATTATACAGCGCAAAATTACTTGTTTGTACGCAGGGGCGACGTTATAATTTATATTCGCGATCGCGCGCGCACTGTTATATTTAATGACAGTCAATTTGGTTCACACGGCTTTATGATTTCAACACATGTAGGTAATTTTGTTTTTTGTTTTTCTACTGAGAGGTAACGCGTTACGTAACACGTAACGTCACTCTTTGGCTTCCCTTGTGAACATTCGTCGTTTATTGTTTCACGAAAACAAAGTCATCGTTTGTTTTCGTGTTCAAATTAAATTGTCACATTAAAAGGTGACCAGAAAAAAATTTACAAGATTGCAACACTGACTAAATGTTTTTTACTAAAGTCTACGCTATATCCGAAATATTGTAAACGAGACATTTATTAAAAAAAATCCACCACTAAATTTGATCGCGTCAAAATGCCAAATGCAAATATTGTCCAACGAATAGATATTGCTGACAACCTCCCTCCCCCACCCTTTGTGTCTGCCTCAACTTATATAACGAATTTAACCTGAATTTGAATAAAGCTATGTCCGAACTACTTTTCCTTTTCAAATGGAGGATCAGCTAAAATATTAAGATGAAGAGTTTGTTTGTTTGGACGCGATAATTTCAAGTTTGAATTTTAAAAAAATCGTTAGTTGGGCCATTTATCGAAGAAGGCTATAAAACATATGGCTCCGACGAATAGGAGCGAAGAAATGTAGGAAAAAGTGGAAAAAAATCAATACATCTTTGATGGCTGCCGTTGCGTGCGCTGCGAATGGTGCAAGAAATCAAAGCAATATGTCTAGAATAATGGTTCTTCTTTTGGTTACACAGGTAACCAGAGCACATCTCTCTCTAGAGTAGAAATCTCTCCTTAGAGAATGTTTAAATCTTTTAAAACAAATTCAATGTCAACGTTTAAAACATTTTTTTGCATAGCAACTTTATTTTTAGTAATCGCTATTAGATAAAAATGGCTTTACATCATGTCGAAAATTAAAATCTATTGAATTTCCTAATACAGTTATAAAACAATTGAATTCGATACGTACATCTACTTTTTGGTGTACTTTTAGTTGATTTTACTGTCAAGAATATCTAAGGAATTATTTTTTAAATTCAAAATATTCAATGAATTTATACGCCCTTTTTAATATTATATCGTGGACTTAGTTAAAAGTTCAATAATACTAAATAACTGTAGTATATATAAATAAAGCACATTTAACGGTTTGTAACGCAAAGTTTCTGATTCTACTTATTTACAATTTATTTTAACCCGGGCCTGATGTTTCGGATGCTTTGCAGCAGCCGCGGTCACGAGGAGACATAGTTCAAATAAATTTTAAATAAGTAAACTAATAATTTTCGCATTTTAAACCGATACACGTGTTTTATTTAAATGTGTACTACTTGCGTGAACTATAGACAATACTTAGTTATAAAAATAAATGCAATATCATAATAACGGCTACAGCCTGTAGATGTTTTCCGAAAAACTACGGAGGCTTTAAGAGTAGAAAGCGAGGCGTGTGTTTTATGGCTGTCAGAAACACACCGCCAGCCAATAGGACGGGGCTGGCGGGGTGAACGAAGCGGTCGATACCCCAACCTCACCCTCCGGAAAAGCATCCTTAAATAAAAGTATGTTTATGATAATTAAAACATTTTTCCTCTTATCTTATGTACAACTCTAAATTCTTAATATGTAATAAACGATTTACATTTTAAAAAATCCATTGCATTGCCTTTGAAATTTAAACCCATTCATGTATTTAATTTAACAAAACGACTATTTTTGAACTAAATAAATTTCTATGGTTTTTCAACAAATTATGTAATTTAAAACTATACTAATACTAGGAAGCTGAAGAATTTATTTAAACGCGTTAATCTTAGTTGTGACTTATTTGAATCGAGAAAACATCTTTGTATTAGTCACACCATTTATCAAGGAAGGTTTTAGGATATTTAATTTCATGCTGCAATCAACAGGGCCAAAGATACAGTGGAAAAATTATGTAAACTACTTACCTACCTATGTTTGAGTGCTTGCATTGCGCGCGCTGCGAAGACGATTTAAAACCAAAAAATTATGAAATAATTATTCCTTACATCTTAAAACAATGTCCGTGATTGTATCTGTCTATTTGTTCAGATTCGCAAGAATGTTTTTATGGTAACCATGGTAACCAAAATTGGTCGAAATCGTGCGATATTACCAATTTTTTATTAGCTGTATCAACATAATAATATTTATCTTGTATACAACAAACATCTTTGCCGGGTCCGATAGTATTATTTAGACGATCCAGCTTTCCCAAATGAGCGTAACATACGTTTTGAGAACTAAATTCTTGGAACTAATAAAAAAAAACATCGCTCCTATAATATTTTGAGTTAGGAACGCCCTTTAAAAGTATTTTTAACGGTTAGAACTCCAAATATATTAGTAAACTTGTAGATATTGAACCACGGCTCATACGAAGCATGTGAATCGGGCCGGAAAAGTTAAAAAATCTTTAAAAAAATTTGCGCGTTTTAAACCAGTAAAAGTGTTTCATTGAAATACCATACTTATACACATTTTAATAAAACAACATATAAATAGTATTAGCTATTGAAATAGTAGAAAATGTTTACTTTCGATAATGATTAAGTACTTGATATTTTCAAATAAAAAATATACCGACAATCGTTGTGAATTATCTTATGCTATTTCATATTTGGTATTGGAATATAAAGTTTTGTTTATTATTATTCATACACACAAAATTACGTCAACGATTTGATAAGATCTATTATTACACCACTTGAGAAAAAGCAAAACGTCGGAATTTGTGACTTTAAAGTGGCTAGAAAAACTTAAATCCAACTTCTCATGAAAGATACCAAATATTCATTTAAATTGTATTATTATTAAAATACCGAAAGTAAAATAAATATACCTCAAAAAAATCCGCCACGTTTATGTTGTCAAAAACAGAAGTTGAGTTAGCAAATTTATATCACTCACTTATCAACAGGACAAAAATCTGATGCTATTGACTATAACATGAACTATTATTTATATTAACTATGACCCGATGATTTTGATGCGTTTTTCAATCTGTTATTTAACCCATAAACCACAGATTCAAATTGTTACCCTAAATATACAAAATGTGGAAACGGTACTGTCTATAGTTTACGCGAGTAGTACACATTTAAATAAATCACTTTAACGGTTTAAAACGCGATATATTAGTTAAACTTATTTGGAAATTATTTTTAACTTCGGCCCGACGTTTCGGATGCTTTTTTGCAGCAACCGTGGTCACGGCTTTTGCAAAAGAATAAAATAAATAAAAAAGTTTGACTAATATATCGCGTTTTAAACCGTTAAAGTGTTTTATTTAAATGTAGAAACGGTATTTTTTTAAAGATCAGAACTTTTTAATAGTATATATAATCACTAACTTATTTAGATTTTCACACACACTAATCACATTACAGCATTGCTAAGAAACGTAACAAAAATTACTAATCAAATATAGACAGCATGTTAGATTTAAAATTCGAATATATATCGTAACGCTAAGGTCTAACCCTAGTTACTAATGACTCTAGTCTTCCTAAACTACTTAGTTGAGATAGCGCTTTGATGCAGTTCTTTACCTGTTCATCAGTCAGAAACTTGGACCAGCGACTACAGATAATAGAAAATTATTCAGCTCGACATCAGCAGCCGCAAGAAAATCTTAGAATCTTATAAGTACCATTTTCCGAGAAAATCGATTAAAGGCCGGCCCCTCGCCGCCTTTATTGTCACAGACTCCGCCCACATTTTGGGGTTGCTATCTGTATAGCACACACTCACAGTCCTCTACAGCAGAAATTAACCCTTATACCCACTCCAGTAAGACACAGGCTGCAATAGAGCTCACACAAGGGTAGCGGCCCCCGCAAAATGGCTACCCTCTGCGGTATAAAATTATTTTTCTACTTTGTCCCGTATCAGTCTCGTTTAGCGACAGTGTTAAGTTGGCCGGGGCTTTGAAATGTCTGGAACACGCACGCAAGTCGCGGACTCGTCGACGTCACCGCCTCTAATGTAAATAACAAGTAACAGAGCCGTCCTTATAGTGAAGTATCGATTTTTCAACGATTTATTGTTTTTAGTGAAAACCGCCGGCTTGATTATTCGGGGCTGAAGTTCACTTATGCAGACGGTTCGGACGACGAGGGTCCGCAGTTGACGTCCGAGCTGCCTTCGTGTGTATACGCTGCAGCCAGGGGTCGCCTGCAGTTGCCGCTGGCTGCTTACGTTCATCAGCATTCAAGGCAACTACATACAGGTAAATTCAGGTGTTGTTATTTACCATTTAGCAACTTTTGTACTTACGAAACCTTAGGTTTCTGTTGCCAATACTTTATGTAGTAAAATCTATTAACCAGCGCCGTCTGAAAAGATTGCTATTGCGTCACCGTTCCAAATTTTACTAAATCAAATTATCTGCTTTACTTTAAAATCGATTGTAAATTGAAAATAAACGACACGGGCAGGACGTACGTTTTTTTACGTATTTGAAAGTAGCGAGTTGTATTTTTAATTGGACGCGTTTCATGTACATTTATAGCGCATGTAGAATTGTTGCGCGCATAGGTTTTGGAACATTCGTTTTTACGTAAACAAATTCGTGTAGTTGTTGTGTAGAGATTTAGCTATTTATTGCACAATTTTTACCTAACACTTTTCTTAAGATGGTATCTTGGAGACCTCGATGGAGCCCGAATATCAATGCGGAGGATCGCCATACAGAGTTCAGCGAGCTGCGGCGAATGTTCGCGAACGAAGGCGAATGCTGAGGTCCGGACCCAATGGGTATCTTTTTAATAATATTTATATAAGCACGTGTTGTACTGATTATGTTTTGAGAAGTGAATTATTATGGGTAATTGATATTTGTCAAACCGACCAAACATTTAAGATTATTTCAAATTTTTTAAATTAAAATAATTGCACCTTTCGTGTATTCCATACTGTTAATGTTAATAACACGTTCTATAAAATTTAAACAAAATTCATAATTCAACGTTCTTTAGCATCAAGATTCTACCAACAAAATCACGTTAAAACAAAAAAAAAATTGAGACTCCGTTTCTCTGTGTGCTCTGTATCTGTTATCGATATTATTAACAGACAAGACTTATCTACCCTGCCCGATCGAAATACTTCCTTTGAAATCGAACTCAGGACTTTAACGCAATGCTGGCGATTAACAATTGAGTTATGGAGGCAATGTTAAAAATAACTTTAAGAGTTACATGGTGTCATGGATTTTGGTGTTCAGGTGACGTTGAACAAAAATGTTATAAGGTCTTTAATACTAGCATTCGTACCTTGATAACATCTATGCAAATATTTTTTCTAGTCCAGTTACCACTCTATTTGAGAGAAGATATATAAAAATAGAGTAGGTTAATAAAAGAGTAGAATCCAAGGGATGGTAAAAGAAATAGAGGCAAACTAAACAGAAGATAGGAAGATAATTTCTAGAGGATACTTAGAAAGTATTTCTATGGAGCCAATTAGCGAGAGACAGGAATATGTCTCTTTGGAGGAGGCCTTAGTCCACAGACACGATGTTCAACAAAGTTAAACAGTTACCAATAACGTAGAAATCAGAATTAATATTTACTTTCGTTAGCAGACATGTATTAAGTACTGTCCAGTTTACGCGAGTAGATAATCACTTTAAACAGTTTAAATCGCGAATTGTATTAGTTAAATCAATTTACTAAATATTTTAACTACGACCCGTCGTTTCGGATGCTTTGCGCTTTGTTGTTTCAGAGGCCGTGGTCACGGGGAGAGTAAAAATCCCTATTGTCAAAGTAAAAACTCCATACAATGCCAGCTACTTTCTAAAAATCATCTCCCATCTTTCGTTAGTTTCTTTTTTCTATGTCTTCTCTCAAAGAGATAGATAACTAGTCTATGAAAACAATTTATTGGGACTTGTAAAAAGATTCAGATCTAAAGATCGAGGTCGAACGCCAAGATCCGTGTCTTTGTATTACTGTGGAGGGATCCTTACTAAAACGTATTGTGGTGTTGTGTCTTTAGCAGTATAAACTCGGCGTTCGACGAGTTGCGGGTACACGTCCCCACTTTTCCATATGAGAAGAGATTGAGCAAGATCGACACACTCCGGCTTGCTATTGCATATATAGCGCTATTGAGAGAAGTAAGTATTATGGTATAGGAGAGATAAGTTCACTTGATGGGCGGTGAAAACCACAGCCTCATAATATGCGCTGTTTGGCTTTGGATATTTCGAAACTGTGGATGTTCGGTCGGAAGGATGTTTTTTTTATATTGTGCGTACTAGCTGGTGCCCGTGACTTCGTCTACGCAGGATTAGGATTTGGATTACGTAGTATCGCTCATTTAACCTAAATTATGTCTATCATATCATACATTACATAATTATGTAACTAGCGTTTATGGCAGCGCACGCCAGAATAGCTCGCAGAAAGGTAGGTTTTTTCTAGTCACTTGACACTTGTCATATTTTGTACAGCTCACACAATATCTTTATAAATTGTGGCCTATGCATTATTCAGATGTATAAGCTATATTATTGGAAAGTTTAATTGAAATCCATTCAGTAGTTTTTGCGTGAAAGAGTAACAAACATCCATCCGCACATACAAACTTTCACGTTTATAATATTAGTAGGATGCTGCAAATCACTTCTTCTAGCTGTTATGCTAGAAGAAGTGATTTGCAATTTTATAGACGATATAGTATTTTTAATAAATAAAAAAACGTTGAAATGCCAGAGAACTCTATCGTATCAGCGCATTACGCGGATTTCTACACGATGTCCATTAGTTAGAGTTTCTAGACCTGGTGTGGATCAAACCCAAGACAGCCACATATTACAAGCCTGGCATACATTTGATTGCCTGTCTTTTATGTCAATGTTATGTGGGTTAAAGTGTTTTACTTAAATTTGCCTTACTCGTACACAATACTAAGTTTTAATCAACTGTTTATTCGATTTCGATTCGAAGGTACTAGACGCTGATTATGATCCTTTGACGTACGTTGAGAAATGTCTTCGGGGCGAGATCAAAGCTGATCGTGCGCATTGGAATACAAGTGGTAAGCTTTCCATCATGTTTTTACATAGGGGAAATATTTTGTTTACATGTTGAACTGCTTTACAGCAGCCGTTCTGCCCCATGGCCCACAAACGGAAACCAACTAGTAAATGAAAATTAATAATGCAATACTGTCTGTAATTTACGCGAGTAGTACACATTTAACTTTAACAATTTAACGGTTTAAAGACGCGACAAATATTAGTCTCCCCGTGACGACGGCTGTTGCAAAGCATCCTAAAGGTCGGGCCGAAGTTAAGAATCATTTTCAAATAAGTTTAACTAATATATTGCGTTTAAAAAGGGGTTCTACTCGCGTAAAAATAGACAGTATATTTTATAATATTCTTTTTAGTCATTAGTTATACATAACCTTATATGCCAGACATATTCAAGGATGTGCAATAAATATTACAGACTTAACAGCACGACTTTCATGGATAAACTGGGAGAACCTCGGAGTAAATCCTCAGAGGAGGAGCGTCCTAACATCACTGGCGCTCAGTTCCGAAAACTTACAATACCCTCACAACTGATTTTGTTTTGTTTCCGCCATTCTCTTAGATTTTGAGGTTAGTTCGTTTATTGTTAAATTGTTATTTGAAATTAGAAAAGTGAATAACCGGTATATGTAGTACTTTGTCTAATATTGATAATTTCGTTACAATCGCTATTCAATCAATTTCAAAAAATGATAGATATATCATTTTTGTCGTAACTCTATGGCGTGTATATTAGACAAAGTATAATACATATTCAAATATAGAACAGAGTTGGTCAAAAGGCAAATTAATTTATTTGCCTTATTGGAAATCAATTCGTCTAACATGCGCGCTGCGACAAATCTCGAGCGGATGCAAGTCGTCGGGCCATAGAGAGAAGACATAAATCTCACTATATATATATGTTAGTGAACAAGATCACTTCTTGTTTAAAATTTTTTACAGTTTTATATATTTGAAAAAAAAAGCGACGACGAAACGGGATACGATAAGACAGAATTTTCTCGAGCCGCGCATGTTAGGCCGGCGGTACAATTTTGTACATAACATTTTTACAGATGGCAACATAAAACCCAAACTTTTCAATACGGCTTTATTTTATAATATACTGCGATATTGATATATGTAAGATCTCTTATAAACATTTATACGATTTGTATTTAATTCATACACAAACGTCAAGTAAATGTTTACTTAGAAATATTTAATGTCTTCCATATATCCTGTACGATGCATTCGGGCATCGAATCATAACTATAGCAGCCGGGATAATAAGGATAAAAATAATACAGGTAGATTGACCAGAATTCAGTTTATTTTTGTAGTAGGAAACATACATATTTTACTAAGACGCAGAACACATCGTCATTTTGCGAAACTACCCACTAGATATTAAGGTTTTTAATCGTCTACAGTGTTAGCGAGTTGCGGGAGCGATGTTCTGTGACATTAATTACACTACTCGGGTTTTCGAGCTTTTCGACTGTCGGAAAGGAAGTCGTGGATTACGTCATCGGATGTTCTTCTTAATTTGATGGCTTTCCCATTCTCATTGGAATCAGATGTTCTCCGACTGCGCGAAGACTGACGGTCTCGGCTGTCAAGTTCACTTTTTGCTTCAGCTTGAAATCCCAAGTAGCTAAGCAAAATGGCCGCGAAAGCTATACACAAAACAAATGTTTGAATTTTTTTTTATGTTCTGATGATATAGATATTTTTTTCTATAAATAAATAATAGATAGAATTGTAGAATACGGAAACGTGATTTCACAAAACATGCATTTTCGCTTACGCAACACGCTTGCACTCACGACGTACACTTCTTCAAGCTGTTGCCTTTAAATATCATGCTATATTATTATAATATGACGCATAAACATAGCATGTATATTTTAAATACATTTATAAATACAATCGAAGACTTATCGTGAATATTAATAATTATTTCGACTAGAAAGTCATGTCTAAAATAGTTACATTTACTCCAGCTTAACGTAGCGTATTGCGTTAAGAAAAGTTGCAATGTGTAACAAATTTTGAATTAATTCTAAAGATCGTCAACGATGTCTTAACTCGTCACAAGAAAAAAAAAATACAAATTGTTTTTAAATAAAACACCTGTAATCTTGATGTTATGACATAATAGATAACTATTATTCGATGTAATATTTTGTAGTATATTCTTCTATAGTTTAAAATATAATCATTCTTCTATTTGAATTCTACCACAAAGTCACGAGTATTTCTTTAAAAAAAACATAGGCGTTGCTTTAAGCAATAGAAAAGGACAATATAAATATATAAAAATATCCGACGAACAAACTGAGCCAAATCTATATAAGGATGTTGTGTAGCTATATATATTAAATACTAATGTAATTTCTTAGATATAAATTCATGTATAAGTGTGATATACTAAATCTAGTCGAGATTGTGCAATAACCATGTACAATATTTATAATGTAGTTTATAAAAGTGCGTTTCAATAAAGAAATGTTATAGTCAGATTAGTTTTATTTATACCTTATTAAAATGGAATGACACGACACGTGAGTAGCAGTGGCGTAGCTATCGTAGGGCCAGGTGATGTATTGCACCAGGGCCCCGGCACTTAGGGGCCCTCTAACCTTATCTTTGAGAAGATATAAGCGTAGAAGATAATGATTTATAACGTTCTTGTTGCTATTTATAATTTTGGAGGTTCATTTAATTCAAGCTATGCTAAAACAGGGGAGGACCCGATTCTTCCTTGAGTCTTAGAATTAGGTAGACCGGGGCCCTTGTACACCTAGCTACGCTACTGGTAAGTAGCTTATATAATACTTAACTATCGAGTATAAATACGACTAACACTTAGCACATGATGTTCTACATTTAAATATAACCGACGGATATATAGGCCATCAGGGATTGGACAGTAATCGAATTAAAACCTTGAATATCTGGTTTATCTATAGATTGATAATGTAATATAATCAATTTTAAATATTTAATAATAATTACGATTAAATACTGTCTATAGTTTACACGAGTAGTACACATTTAAATAAAATACTTTTACGGTTTAAAACGCGATATATTAGTTAGACTCACGGCCCCGTGACCACGGCTGCTGCAAAGCATCCGAAACGTCGGGCCGAAGTTAAAAATCATTTTCAAATAAGTTTAACTAATATATCGCGTTTTAAACCGTTAAAGTGTTTTTGATTTAAATAAATTACGATTTTTCACCTAGACTAAAAATTCAATCTTAGAGCGTAACGTCATTTGTCGGTAAACGTCGATTGCATTTATTTCCCGCAGTGTATAACCACATATCACGTGTCACACCCTGCGGAGTTTTGGCGTAAATCTTGATCTTTTCTTGTAAAAACACGATTTTAAGTACTTTAGAAGCTATAAGTAAAATAATATTTATACCGAACTAAGTATCTATAAATATTAATGTAAAACATGTAGAAAATTTCGCCGCTTACTTATTATTTGGTGCGTTGCCTAAATAAAATATAACCACGATTTAGATCATAAACTATACAATCGAATCGGATAATTGGAATGGCTGATAAAATAGAGCAAAACCATTGGATAGTTTTATTATTAATAGCATTTAGATAGTCTAAGGCTTACTCGTAAGTGCCATCTCTGTCCTCTGCTAAGTCCGACCGAGGGAACATCTTAAACCATTTCTGAATTATCAATTATGATAATGTCCTGTACTAATTCTTACATACAATTTTACTTATTTTAAAAGCATGCAGTATTTACACCTTGTCCAATGAAAGAGTGTATGTTCTAAGAGGATCTACTTGAAACATACCTACACTTCTTCCGTGCCTAGTCCCTTATACTGTTAACAAAAGAATATTCCTATGGCCAGTCTTCCAAGTCACTGTTAATAGTATGCCATGCAAGACCATTCCCAGTTGGGGCATGTGGTGATGGTAACAGCACATGCCGTAGAACAGTCCTACCTTGTGTTAAGCCGAGGAAGTTCCTCCAATTTTTCCTCCTTCCAAAGTTGTATGGGTTTCTGAATGAATTATATTTTTTCCTCATACCTTCATTTATATACTTCTCAACACTGGTTTCACCACGGCTTATGTTCTTGCCGTGCACGACTACAAGACTTCCTAATGCAATAAGCACTGAGAGGCAGGTCACGGCCATGAAGACCACGGCTTTTCGTTTCCAAGGGTCAGCAGATATGAGCTGAGCTTCCGTTATTTCTGGTGTGGGCAAAATGTGCTCGCGAGGGAAGTTTATGGCATCATATTCCGGTATGTCCTTAACAGGTACAAGTACACCGCTCTTGTTTAATCTGAGGGGGTGGCCAATCAAATCTGGTTCATCCTTTATCGGTGTTGTATCTGAAGATTTAAATAAATCAACTAATAATTGACATGTTATAGAGATAATATGAGACCGCTAGAGGCAGAGTAGCCAATACAAAGTATAAAATGTTAATCTACAAGATCTTGTTAGAAAAGTTTCAACAAACTCTGTGGTCCTAGCTTTATACGCTTTCTTTTTATTTTATGTGTCATGTAATATGTATAATAATAATAATAGTTCTTTGATTTTTCCTTCTGTCAATAAATATTTCGAATACCTAAATAGATCTAAGGGACCAAATATTGTCGACATTCTTACACAAAAAATAGAAATTAATTTTCGCCTTGGTTAATTCCGAATTCTTATTAACCTCCTTATTGAAAATCATGTTTCTTGGTATTAGGCCACTCTGCCTTTAGCATCCTCATATTTACTATTTATTTAATTTAAAAGGTTATTTATCATAATCAAAGTTGATAAGTAATTTTTGTATAGTAAACCAATAGAAAAGTAATACCTTCGTAAACCCAAAGTACTTGATAGCCTATATCAAGTCCAAATACAATAACAAAGGTAACTCCAGCTACCATATACGCCATATATAAGTAGAAGTATCTGGCATTAAAGTATCCCACACAATTATTCAGCCATGGGCAGTGATGGTCCATTGCGAGAATGCATTTATCACACACTGAACAATGGTGTGTTCTCGGTGGTTTTGGTGATATACATTTCTTGCATATGCTAGCTGCTTCTATCAGCATTGTACCCTAAAACAATTGTAAAAAATCTATAATATACAATCCTTCAAATTTAAGATTACAATATGTTATATATCCATCAATATTCGTTTTTTTTATCGATGCAATGTTTTCTGTAGAAAAATTACTACCTATTTCAGTTAATTTTATTCTTTGACTTACAATGAGATTGGCACCTTAGTTAAAGTGATCGTAATCACATGTTTGTATAATAAAAAACTTTGAAGTTGTATGCATTTTTAGGGCTATACTGCTTAAACAAGTAACTTCAAAAAAACCCTAAGTTCCTTGTGTCTGAATCATATTTATAAACAAAGAATTGGGTTTAGATTTTTCTGGACTTACTGTACATTGAGAAATGCAGTTTTAGTAGGCACAGAATACATACATGTGGTGGATAGCCGGGCGGTGTCGCCACACCCATATAGTAGTGGAACACAATATTAAGCAGTAGCCAGTTGCCAAAAATAACTAGAAACACTGTTAAATATGGATTCCTATGCCACCAATATGGTAAACCAATCCAATAGGCAACTCCGACCACAGCTGTCGTGAGAATTGTCACACAAAATACAAACACCTGGAAACGATACAGATTTTTTCATAATTATTAAAACTAAAGTCATTGTTTTAGACTAATGTAAAATAGAAATTTAACAAACTGATACAGTTCAAAGTCAAAGTAAAAATAACATTTATTAATGTACATAAGAAAAATACAATGTTTGTGGATTTTACTAAGAATTTCTTATAGTTGTAATTTTTTACATAATATGCATTATGCTTTTTTGTAAATATAATAAAAAAAGGTCAAAGATGTCTTTTGAATCCAAATAAAAATAGCATACTACAATATAGTTGTCATTTATGTAAAGTATTAAGCCACAATGAATCTCTTCTGTCTCTATATATAACAGGTCTCTACTTTATCTCAATTTTAATAATATTATCTTCAACTTACCCTTCCCAGGTAACCAGCAAAATTATCGACAAACCAAAATATTGGCTCTAATAAGCAATCTATAGCATAATTGCGACTCATATGGTCATTGTAGGTAAGAGATTGGAATGTAAGCACCAGCTGTGTAATCTTCCATGTTATATATTGTCTGAAAAATTATAATTTATGTTAGGATTGAGGAGTTCATGAATTTTAATAACAACAACATACTCCATTATTATGTTACTCCACACTTAATTAAAAAATGGAATACAATTATATAATTACCCTAAATAGTGCTAGGCTTGGCAATGTTTAAAATATAAATTAATACCTATACTATTATTTAACCGGAAATAGATTCCATCAAATATTATCTAAATATTCCATAATAGCCATAAATAAAGATATATTTCATAAACTCATACTTTATTATAATATAACACGACCATAGTGCTACATACATATTATGTCTTATTTTAGTTTCCTTTAAAATAGATATTTAAAAATCTTATAAACAAAGCTGTATATTGTTTGAATATAGCAACAGCTTTTCACAAATGAATATTTTCTATTACTGGATTTCAAATGTGAATAAAAGAAAAAATAGCTTACTTAGCTGCTTTGTATAGCTCCTTAATTCTAAAGCGGCACCGTATTGTCACCATTTTGAAAATTCCTTAGCCAATGTGCTGATGTCTGTAAAAGCAAGACATGGGCTGACAAGGCAGAAAAATAATTAATGATAAATAATTAATGATAGCACATTAATAAAAAGAATGTTATATTATAATATTATTTTTGCTGATTCCTCTTCTTTTTTTTCTGTTTATTATATACATTTAAGTAACAGGGAATAAAAGAATACAAGAATAGTTTAACAGGGAATAAGGAATACAGTATGGTTAAATTATTGAACAAACAGCGAGACACATAAACAATACCTAATTCAAACCGTTCAACAAAAATGTACCTATTTTAATTCATTGTTAGTTGAAGTCAATTTATAAAATAAACATAGTTAGCTATAGCGCCGATCTTTAATTTTATTAGATACAGATTACTTTGACCGTAACCCGACGTTAAAAAGTGAGCATAGATTAAATATATAATATTAAACAGCTCTATGATATTTAAAATATAATACGATAAACGTCCGCCACAGAGTTCTCACATTTAACTGTGATTTATAGATGGTCTGTGAGCTAACACAGATCTACACATTTTGTATACCTATGCCCTACAAAATAACAGATTACAAATAGGAATTATGCGTAAAAAATATTTTGGCGTATAATCTGTAGACATCATTCAGAATTTTTCTGAACATAAGACTTTGGTTTTTGGGTCCGTGATTATTGATTTCGTGTTTACCGTATCAATATAAATTTATTAAGAATAATATTATAATATAATTACCGTCTAAAACCGTGGAGCACATTACGTGTATCAAAATTGTAACGTGAATTTGGATATTGTGAGAGTTATGTTTATAATTTTCTTGTGAAATGGCAAATCTTTATGAAAAGTTCAATTTGTTTACAAATCCTCGCAAAATATTCCTCAATACTTAATCAATTGTAGTGCTCGTGGAGTGTTAGCCATCAAATGATGTGTACGATAGCTTGTTAAGATTTGGCTGTTCTAGCAATCTGAGTATTCAGTATCGACGCTGGTGTTGATAAAACACTACCAACTTCACCATGGATGACGATGGAGATGATAAAGACGACACTAAAAGGTGAGTCAATCGTTTCAACCGTACTATTATTATTCTAATACTAAAGCAAAGGCTATTGGAAAAGTTGCACACAGTTTGTGTTTCAATTTGCATAATAGGTATAACATACATATATACGCATAGGGGACTATTAAGCTTTAGCATTTGCTATTTCTTTGCTGAGCTATTTCATGAAAATATATTTGTATTTATAGATGCTAAAGCCTGTTAGTTGTAAGGATAAACCATTTTCTCTATATTCAAATATAAGTTTTTAGGTTAGATTTATTTGCAGTCAATGGTGTAATGTTTGTTATAATATTTGTATTGTGCTGTTGATTATTACTTATAATAGCCTAATAATATCAGTGTATTCATAAACTTATTAAATAGAAAACATTTTTATTTGACTTATAATTTTAACTTATTTTGAAATTAAACAAAATATTACAACAACACCCTAATATACCTCAAAATTTTGGCTATAAATGTTAAGAAACTTAACATGCTATACAATAAGAGAAATGTTATATATTTACAAAGTTTGCAACCTCGGTAATGACTATTTTATAGTAAAACTTCTGTCTTGTTGGAAACCTGTAAGTATTTATGTAACATAATATGGTGTTTTAATAATCAATTATTATTATCATTTCTATAAATGTAAGGCATTGCTCTGCCTATGGTTTCAAATTACCTTTAAAATGCAAAGTTCATTGTTTAATGTTATGAAAATTGTAATTTGAGAGTGTTATATGGCAGTTTCTGTCCATGCAATATATATGTATTCATAAATAATATTATTATATGAATATATATTAATATATATAGATTAGAGAGAGAGAAATAGATTTTAGGAAATAAATAAACGTTTTGTTCTTTATTGACCAAATGTTATTATGCTTTAAACCATCATACTGCTTCAGTAAATATTATCAGCTTCTGCAATTTCATACAACTAATTTTTGTAGTACATTACTGAAAAATCACGCACGTCAATTTCTAACCAAAAGTTACACGTGAAATAATGTCTTTAACTCTTGGGTCTTAAATATATTTACTGGTTTCCTTGGGCTGAAATATTAATATAGATAGCTATGATTTTTCTGCAAAAAAGACTGCGATCATGTTTGGTATGACCTCTATTATTTTTCATTCTAGGAGGACCCGAAACCTGAGTGAGAAAAAACGTAGGGACCAGTTTAATATGCTTGTAAATGAATTGGGCGCAATGGTGTCTTCAACTAACAGAAAAATGGACAAGTCAACTGTCCTCAAATCCACAATATCGTTTCTGAAAAATCATAATGGTAATATGACTTTAAATAAGGAATTTATAACACTTCTTTTTTATGTCTAAAGCCAGCTTATTCTTTGAAGGATGGAAAGAGTTAGAATTGAAAGCAGACTTTTTAGAATCGTTTCCCTTTTATATTTATATCAGAAGCATACTATGTAGAACTGGGTTTCTCGGGTGTTCTTCTCAGTTATGTTGCTCTTTTGATCACTCCATAGAATCACGACGAACAGACAGACAAACAAAAATGTTTTGACGAATCTAAATATTTTTCTAAATTTTAAAGAGAATAAAGTATGTTTTATTTTATTTTAAGAATACATATGACTTGTTGTTATGAACGTTAAAATGTCTTTAAAATTGTTATTGGTTAGTAGAAGTGAAGGAATAAAAAATTTGTGAATTTAAAAACTCAAAATTTTTGATGTGATTTGATATGTGAAAATGTTAAAATTGACATTTTTGTAAATCATTTTAATGAACTTAACAATTTTTGGGATAAGTATCTATATCTATTGTTATTTCTCAAGTAATATCTAAACCCATCCCAGCCAATTAAACAAGCTCTTTATGATTACAACATTCTTAATACAGCACTATAAAAAAAATGCATTTGACGAGTTTATTCTGTTTTTACAGAAATAACAGTGAGGTCTCGAGCTCATGATGTCCAAGAAGACTGGAAGCCGGCATTTCTTTCAAACGAAGAATTCACGTATCTTGTATTGGAGGCGTTAGAAGGTTTTGTTATGGTATTTTCAGCGACTGGGCGCATCTACTACGTTTCAGAAGGAATAACATCACTGCTGGGACATACACCGGTAATTATAAGTTTAAGGAGAACATTTTCTCTGTCCTTAAAACGGTATATAGTCTATACCGTTTCAAGAATAAATGACATCTATAAAATGACAATTGTCTTATGCTTTTGTAAGCGGATGTTTTATAATCTCTTGTGACTTGTGAAGCAATTTTCTCATAAATAATGCGCAGTTCTTGTAATAATAATCTCCTTTGGGGTATGGGGCGAACACATTTTCGTTTCACTGATTAGAATTCAATGTTTACGAAACACTTCACATTTGGGCCACTGGTGCTTGACGCGAGGCAGTGTCCTTTACCAATGAGCTACAGTGGGTATCTTTATTGAAACAGATAATTTTGAAATTGTATATAAGAGATCTTTTTTGTGTTTTTCAATTGCTATATATCAATGCATAATATATTGTTTCAGAACGATATAGTAAACACGCCAATATTTGAGTTGGCATTTGAAGATGACCGAGCGAATTTGTATAATCTTTTACAAAACCCGGCAACACCAGTCGATCCTAATCAGGCGTTGACAGCAGGTTTGTTAGTAATCTAATTTTAAGAAGTAGTAAAGTTTGACATTAAATAGACACAATCATCCCTAGTACTAGGTAGTTACTAGTAGATAAGTTTATGCTATATGCGAATTTATGCTAAGCGAGCGAAAGGCATTGGTTTGTATATCATTATCTATATTAAAGCAAGTGTTTATAAGAATAATTAGATTAATGTTAGTACATATAAAAATAATTATTCTAGTCTAGATAAGAAATATTATAGAGGTTACCCTAAACCAATTTAATAAATTATGTGAGGAAACATAAGCGCCAAAAACTACACGAACCTGTCACTACTAATAATTTGGACTGCAAAATTCGCTAATACTTTAAAATACCTAGCTTAACTATTCAAGCTGTTGCAGTTATAATTACGAATGGCGAACAGCTCGATTACTAAAGTAGCTTTGCAAAAGGCCGCGAAAGTCTTAAAAGATCTATTACGATAATTAATAATGAAGATTATTACAAAATAAGCTGCTATAGTATTTGTTAAGTAAAAAGTGCATTGATAAATGATCTATGCATAGCATTTATAGAAATGTACCAAAGAGAAACCAATATAAATTGTATGTATGTTTCATGCTAGTGCTTAAACTGCTGAACGATTGTTTTTCATTATTATCAGTTGCTATGTCAATGGATTCTTAATGGCTGGAGTGAAATAGTCTCTAGAAGTATTTTTGCTTTGTATCTGTAAGTTTTGATGTTTTAAACGCTGTCGTGCATTCTTGCTGTTGGCTCATAGTTGAATAAACTAGGCTTTTTATATTTTATCTTTTGAAAACTTTAACTATAAGATGTTGAACCTTAATAGGCAAGCGCTAAGGTTGAAATTACATTGCGCGAGAAGTGCATGGATCAATAAGTTGAAAAAATTCGACTATGAGGTGTAGGACTCTGTAGCTCAATTGGTAGAGCAACAGCACGGAACGCTGACGATGCCGGTTCAAATCCTGCCCGAACCTGTCGAATTTTTTTTCAATTTATTTTAGATTTTTTAATTATATAGGCTTGATTTTGTTTTGTTGAAGTTAACTTACTAGTAAAATTTGATAACGTTATTTAATAATGTTTAAAATAAAGCTTTCGAAATTTTAGAAAAAGTCAAGACAGTAATAAATCATGCCTCTTGCGATGTTTATCTATCTACCTATCAAAACTTTCCAGCTTTCTTGATAAATGTTTCTTTGAAACCGCTTGCTTTAAAAAAATCTAGAATCAGAAATTTTAGTATAGCCGAAATATATGGCCTGCTAAACGATTGTCTTGTTGCTCTGATAAAGAAATTACAAAAATATGTTTCAGTGAGCTAAGACAGCTTTTAAATTAAGTATTGTCTATAGTTTAGCCTAATACACATTTTAATAAAACACTTAACGGTTAAATCACGAATTAAATAAGTGAAGCTTATTCCTTATTTATTAACTAATACTAGACACGTTTGGACGGTTAAATTGTTTTACTTAAATGCTTTTTAATTGTCTATATGTCCATCTCACGGGGGTTGTCTAGTTAAAGGGCTATACAATTAAAATCTATTGTTTCAGAGAATGAAATTAAGTTTCAATGTCATTTGCAACGTGGAACCCTGGACTTCCGGGATGAAATCACTTACGAGCTTGTAGAGTTCAGCGGCCATTTTCGTAAGTATTTGTCCCCAAATATGACGCCGCTAGAGCCAGAGTGGCCTAATAACAAACAACATGATTTTCAATAAAGCGAAAATGAATTTATGCTATTATTTGTGTAAGAATTATGTTAACAGTTTTCGGTCACTGTGCTCTTGTAGATTAACATTTTTAGAGTATAAACATAGAAATAAGTCAAGTCATAAATGATCGGCAATTATTCGCTTTTGTTACAAAGTTTATAACGATTACAATTGTGATAACTTAGCTGTATGCTCTAAAAATACACGAGAAGAAAGCGTTGTGTTACTTCTTCGAAGGGCGTATAGGTATATGAAATATTCAACAAATGCAACAGCTGTTTATAGACTATAATGCATTGCTTGTTTGAGTTAATTATAGAAAGTTCATGGCTCATGAAAAATGTTATGAAAGACTTGTTAAATAAGGCGTATTTTCAGCAAGTTCGATTTATTTCGTAGAAGATTATCGAAATTATACTCAAAACCAACTATGTTCAACCAATTCAATTCCAAGCACGTTTGAGGAAATCAATACATTTATATATTTACGTAAAAAGTACTATAGAATATGTTATATGTATAATATTATTGTTGCCTATTTACTGTCATATTTACTCGTTATACTTTTCAGGTGCTAACATGAAGCAAAGTGAGGGTGATGACTTGTACCAAATGGATCCCGACTCTAGGTAAAAAATAACGGTTGTTTTTATAGCATTATTTTAAACTAGTAAATGACACTTCTTTTAATATTTAGGAACAAACATGCAGGGGTAAGCTTTTTGATAAGAAGGCCACATCAATGTTTTCAAGAGCATACATTCAAATATATTGCTTCAAACATAAATAAAACTAAAATATTTTTTTTATTTAATGCTCATCTTAACACATTTTCACCTTCATTTTAATTGTTTAGTCGTTTATAATTTAATTTGTGTACTTGAAAATAAAAATGTACAGATGAAGTCCAACATGTTTCAGATCTGTATGTAGTTGTTTAACGTTGTATTTTTATCGCCAGGCTGTTATTTGTATGTACGGGTCGGTTGTACACACCCCAGCTGATACGGGACGTCACCCTGGTGGATTCAAGTCGTAGCGAGTTCACTTCAAGGCACAGTCTGGAGTGGAAGTTTCTGTTCTTGGACCATCGTGCGCCGCCAATTATAGGGTATTTACCCTTCGAGGTGCTGGGCACTTCGGGCTATGATTATTATCACTTTGATGACTTGGAGAAGGTCATCACTTGTCATGAGGCGTGTAAGTATATTTACTTGATAATGATTATTTCTATTAAAAGCGGATTGCGAGATTTTAATAAATATGTATAAAATAGATGACACCTGTAGGTGAACCGTACTGTACCCCAACCATATAACATCTAAACTAATCCACCGAAACGATAGATCATCAGCTACAAAATAATAATTAAAAACAATGGGTTTATTTTATTAGTGTAATCGATTACGATATCAATTTAGGTACGTTTAATAAATCAAGGCTAATAGCTATTTACTACGACGTTTTAGTTGTAACCACCATGGAAAATTTTGGATTTCTTTACCACGTAAAATCATTATAACCATGTATGTAGTTTCACTCGAGTATTGCTCTTAAAACATGTATGTCATGTTTAAATAAAATACTTCTAACTGTTAAAAAGGCGTAGCGCAGCACTTTTCACTTCAACATTCGGGGCACCTTAAATTTCACTCCCCGCGTGACCACGGCTGCTGCAAAACACCCAAAACCCAGTAAAAATTAATTATAAACAAGTTAAATTATAAATTTCTCGTTTCAAACCGTTAAAAGTGTTTATTTAAACATTACATACATGTAAGAGTGGTTGCGGAAGCTAAGAAATTATGTTTCTTTTCCAGTGATGCAAAAAGGAGAACTAACATCGTGCTATTACCGTTTCCTGACGAAGGGTCAACAGTGGATCTGGCTTCAAACGAGATTTTATATCACTTATCACCAATGGAATTCGAAACCTGAGTTCGTTATGTGTACGCATAGAGTTGTAAGGTATGTACAATGTTTACTTACGCAATTATTTCCCATTCTAATAAATATTTAGCGAGGACTCTGCCAGTTTCGGAAAATACGAACTTCGACGGAACAGAGGGCGCTAGCGTAGAAGTTTTTACATTGACATTAGAGACACCCTCCGTCTTTAGTGCCCCAATGACCACGGCTGCTGCAAAGCAACCGAACCGTCGGTTCGTAGTTAAAATAATGTCCATATAAGCTTACTAATATATATCTCGTTTTAAATGTTTACTACTCTACAAATTTCAGCTACGCGGATATACAAAAGAGTACGAAGCAAGAAACCACTGATACCGAAGTTCCCGAGGTGCCGGAAACGGCTCCATCTGACATAAAGGAAGCGTCTGAAGACGCGATGACAGCCCCCATGTCGCCGTCCTACATGTCAGAGACGAGCGATGTGTATGGCAACTCTTATTATTCACATTCAAGAGTGAGTGTCATTTTAAATTAGCTGACTTGGCAAACGCTATATTGCCATATGAAAAATTATACCGTTGTTATATATTATAGTTATTAGTATAAATTATATTATTCGACTTAATTTGATAACCATCGCGGGTCTTGTGAGTTAAACTTAAAAAATAGTCTGTCGAGGACTTGTTTTTAGATTATTCAAAGAGGAAAAATTATTTCATATGTATTTTTTGTGGGTCCTACTAGTCCCAGCTGTGGACATAGCCCTAATTGTGTCAACACGATGATGAATATCCATTTTCTCGTTCTTTAACAGCCAGCATCAGTCAAATCAGCATCAGCTGGAAGTACGAGTGGGACATGTGCCTTAGCTGGTACCGCTAACACGGCCAGCACTTCATGGTCGCGCGCTTCAAATACTCGATATTCGGGCGGCTATGAGAACAGCATGGCCTCCGCTGACTCCAGGTCTTCGCAGCGTTCGAGCTCAAGAGACGTAAGTACTTTCCTATTTTGAACAGAATGAGCCACTTTCAGATTGTAATTATACTGTATTATAATTGTACTGTCTATAGTTTACGCGAGTAGTACACATTTAAATAAAACACTTTAACGGTTTAAAACGCGATATATTAGTTAAACTTATTTTACAACGCGTTTTAAACCGTTAAAGTGTTTTATGATAAAGGACAGACTAATATGGCGTTCATTTGATGGTGAGCAAAATACCCCAACCATAATATAACATCTAAGCAAGATGCACTATCGATATTTTTGGCTTTTTATGGGACGGTAGTGCGTGACCCGGATGGAATTTCGACATTCCTATCACCTATTTAATATGCAAATATGCAGATGAAATCCAACAAGTTTCAGAAAAATTATATACATTTATTTTTCACACGTAAATCGATTTTTGATAGACAAGACGGGCAGGACTGGAACCGACGTGCACAGCGTTCGCCGTTGTTGCTCTAACCAATTGACTTACCGTGTCGATTCGACCTGGCTAGCTAAATAGCGATGATAATTTTTGAAACTTAGTATCTAAGACTCGACTCAACCTTTAAAATGTTACCCTTCAGAGCAAAGAAGTACCGACGCGCATGGAAGAACCGCGGCCGATGCAAGAAGCTGATTACAATCCGAATAGAGTGATGATGTTCCAACCTCAACACAAGGCCATCGAACCAACGATTGTGCCTCAACATGGTATAGGAGCTCAGTATCTGGAGCCTGCGCCATATGTGGGCACAGTCAGTGTACCTGGTGTGCTACCAATACTTCCACCACTACCAGTCATCGTGTCTTCCGATCAGGCTCAAATACAGGTGGAACTTTTTTTTTGTGATAATAGAGGAGAGATAAGCGTGGGGTTCACTTGATGGGGGGTGAAATACCCCCCCCCCCAGTCATTTAACATCTATACAAGATGTGCTGTCGACCATTTTTGGCTTTTGGACTCCTAAAGGGCATCGAAGTCTGAAAACTTTGATATTTTTCTCATGTTATTAAAAGTAGTATAGTAATTATTAAATTCACAAAAATGATTTTAAGATGAAAATACAATTAATAGTGGTTAAAAAAAAAAACACATATACACAAATCGAATTGGATTTAGGAAAATTCAATTACAAATGTAGCGTAGGTAACTGCTTATAATAGTGAAAGAGTATAATTTGACACTGAACAGACAAATTGTATATATTCTTTTAAACTTTCAAGCGATGTTAATCGTGTTGCTTAGTACTGCGTTAAGCGCGATCGGTCCCGGGGACACGATAGATCGTTTCTGTCGGGCAGGGTACAGCAGTCTGATCAACTACTTGCGTAATTTAAAAATCGAAAATAAATCCGTGTCTGACGAACGCTGACAATGCCGGTTCAAGTCCTGCCCGAGTCGAATTGATTTTTCATTCATTTTCGATTTTTAAATTATATAAAGTCCCTTAATGTGTAAAAACATGTGAAAAATATTAAAGTTTTCAAATTACGTGTCTGTAATATCAGTAAAATGAACACAGACATGCATGGTCTACGGGAAAACGGAATTTCCCTTTTCCACTTTCAAAACAAATCCTACGCAGCTATTTCACATATCTTCACATCATTCAAAATTATTTTATAAAATTATATTCCATTTCTTCTAATTTTCACAGTGCTTTCGTGTAATTATGTATTTTTCTCTCTGCTTCAATACTGTGGAAAGTATATAAATTGATTTCTATTTAGATAGCTCATCGTCTGAAAAATATATACAATACTTTGAAAACCTTCGGGAATAATCTTATTTGTTTATTCTCATAGTTTATTTCGTATTCCTATAGCTAATTAAATACATGGTTTAAAAAAACACAATTAGGAAAACAAATCCAATACAATCTTTTTTTTTTTCATCACGCTATTGAAGCAAAGAGGCGTAACTCTTAGTTACTCGCTACATAATACAATGGGTTTTATTAAAAAAAACATTAATTTTTCACTGAACATTTTGCACACACTACTCTTGGTTCAAGTCCTTCATTCAAGTAGATAGAACCCGTTGTAATTTCAAAGTATTTGGTTACGTTGATGCGAGCTAGTGGCCGTGGCAGGAGCAGTTGCAGCGCAAACACGAAGAATTGCAGCAGATGATCGTGCGACAGCAAGAGGAGCTGCGCCAAGTTAAGGAACAGTTGCTGCTAGCCAGACTTGGAATGCTGCAGCCTTTGATCAATGTAAGTGGGATCTTACTGTTAAGTAAAGACTGTGAAGCAAATATATGTATGTTCTATACTAGCGGGTAAATGGCTCAACCGATTTTGATAGTATCGTGAAATTGAAACCCAGAGCTTATCCGTTTCCAGTTATTACTTAGTTTATTATATCCCCTCTGTAAAGCAACATGGAACCGAACGTATACCCCCCATAAAAACGGGTGCTGCAAATCATCTGAAACAGCGGGTCATTAACGTAAATAACAGTGACATCGGTCAAAACCGTTAGACTACAGACATATACTACGACATAATACGACAAGTAAGAATGCGTGGATAAATGTTTCTTTACAAATGTAATACCATGTGAGGTGCTGTTATCTTTAAAATCTATATTAGATTTACCAATTCATCAAAATAAACATTTATTTCATAATTATATAGCTAATAAAATGAGTTTTCAATACAATTGCTTATACCGTCTATCAAAATTTTCCAGGTCCAAAACCCATACTCCCCGGACGAAGCCCAGCAGAATCAGCGTCTGCCAGCACAAATAATGTACGAGGGGTCGACCAACCGCACCATCACTTACCCCCCGCCCCCACCACCACATCAGAACCAACAGCATCACCATAATGAATGAAAATAAAACTCATATTAGGTAAACTTTACCTCTTCGTAATACAGGTAACTCTTGTCTATACAAGAATTTGACAATTTTGAATGAATTAAGCTGAAAAGCTTTTTTGCAAACATTATTAGTACTCTACATACTAACAGTTCTTGTAATTATCATCTTTCACACGAATTATGAGGATTATTGTCTGTAGTGTGAATTTTGGAATGATCGAGGGAATTTTGTCTCTCATTTTGTAGGATAATAATCAAACAACATATTAATATTTTATATACAATATAAGTTTACTACGATTTCAAGTATAAATTCATGAATGTGTAGTGTATTATTTTACGTATAGTGTATTTTTTTTAACTTGGCAAAAGATCACAACAAATATGGCCGACTGGTTTGACCATAGAGATGAGATGACCTTTTATAGAGTGAAGTTAATACCACAGATGACACTGTTAAAGAAACATCGTTTATATATTTTGGACCAAACGATCTCAATATTCAAAAGCACTTTCATCACGACCTTTTTTGGTTATTATTAATTTTTTTATTAATTTGATTCTTTATAAGTGAATTTCTGTAGTTTCATTAGTTTAATATATAATTCAGTGCCTGAAATTGTTTTTAGTGTAAATCAAAGTAAACCTTGTGAGAAAATCAATTCCATGTAAATTATCTGTTTGTACCAAACATGCCAAGTTAGAAAAAACACTATAGTATCCTAATTTACTAGCTCTCCCCCGCGTCTACGTTCGGGAAAGTATTATTCATAAATATTCAATGAACGAAGTGTACGTTGCAAGCCGAGGTTGGTATTTTGATAATATAACGACTTGATGAGATCACAGTCAAACGGGATATATATTTTTACCCCTATTTCCTGGTTCTAAGCTACCTCTCAAATTATCAAAATCGGTTTAGCCGTTCTTGACTTACAGCAACTAACACGCCTTTCATTCATATATATAGATGTTATATATAGCACAATATTACTAGATGTACATATGCAGATTTGGTATATATAGCATACCATTTTTATATTTAGCCATATTTTAGTTTTCATTGAAACGGCTGTGCAATTTAATTTGAGTTTGCATCGTATTTGTGTTAAGTTAATCCGAATTTTTTCGTTTCATAGATATTTTATGTTAGCTTAGTGACATTCAAAGGGCTTAGTTAGATGAAATGTTTTTGCTAGTTGTATTTATTTGTTAGAACTTCTATTTTTATCATTGTATACAAGACGTAAGGCAGAATTTAGTTTTTAACGTAAAAAATGTATTTCCTTGCGCGTAAGAATTGTTGTGTTTGAGATGGTTGTTGCACAGGTCTTATTTTTTTAAATATTTTAAGTTTAATTTTATATTAGGTGACGATTCATACAATGAAATATCGTTACATTTATTTACATTCTACTATAATTATATTTACAATGTTGTGACAACTACGCGTTAAGTCTTCTAAGATAAGCGAGTTAGGTCATTTCCGTTTTCGATTGTTTACATATAAATTAGTATGTATCAAAAGGGAGATTGATCATTGCGTATAGGTATTTGGCTCATTTACATGTGTTTTTAAGTATTTGCCCTGGGTCTTCCAGTTAATTCCGTTTTATGACCCCGACATGAACTTCCAAGTACGTCATACATTATCATGAACATTTCCAAAGCTAAAATACACAATACATACACAATATATAAAAAATACACATCTTGTTCAGACGTTATAGATCTGTCAGCGTTTAGCATGACGTTAACAAGACCGTTCAATGACCAATCTCCTTGCACGTGACATTTTAACTTACAGTTGTCATATTATGTGCACAAAATGTGAACATGACACGTCATACTTACATTTAAATGTCCTACTTAACAAATGAAACCCTGATGTCATAACTTCCAAAACCTGGTCATGATACCCATAGAATAAATCAACTTTATCAGATAGATTTAAGAAGCTCAACACGTTTGAATCAGTTTTTATTGTTTTATTTGAAAACTTAGATTTTTGTGATTGTTGTATCATATAGTCGTATATGTCATGTGTCTCTATCTTTTTGAAATAATTAGAAAGCGACGGAGTTTAGACGGTTATATGTTAGAAATATTATTTTTTACTAAATTAACGCGTTAGAATTATTGTATATGACTGAACGCTAGGTTGTGAGGGTTTCATTTGAGTAAGCGGTAAGGTATATTGGTATGTACCACACCACTGGTGGTATGTACCACAAAGATGTATTTTAATATTACTTCGGTTCATGGTCCGATCACAATTCTGTAATTTTCGTCATATAATTAAGCGACATCTTCTGTCTATTCAACCGCAAAAATTCTTTACACCGCTAAAAATTGTTTAAAGCACTCAAATACGACCCGGACGTTTAGCATATTACATTCGCGGTTTCGAAGGACTCGAAATGGTGGTCATTCTTAACTAAAAGAACGAACATTTCCCGTTTTAAACGGTTAAAATGTTCTATTCTATGTGTGGGTTGAAGTTGTAGATAATTAAATCACAATATATTATTGTTTCGTTCGATAAGCTCCACTGGAGGAGGCCGCGAAACGTCTTAATTTGCCTGCGCCGGCGCATATCTTCCACGGAACGAAGCCAATGTCTTTTGTTCCGCATACCCCTTAATGAGGGTGAGCATCCGTCCAGCTCTTTAAGCTTCCACCTAAATTGCATAAGTCCAAGCCTAGGCCCTCCTCACCCCTCCTGGGGCCCTGTTGGCCTAGCAAGTCATGCTAATAATTAGTCCAAAAAGGTATTTCACTTAAAAAAATATTTTGAAGACTGATCGGATCACGTTCCCAATTAATATTTGTGCTCGGTGTTGCCCTAATACAGTATTTCAAAATACAACAATATTAATATAAATGTTCGTTATTATTTTTTTTTATTGATTGTTTGTTCTTCGTTTATCTTTATTTTTTTTTGTTGAACACACTCGGTATGGTCTTGTTTAAGATTAAATGTTATGTAATTTAGCGGTATATTGTATGTAACTATTCGTTTTTGAAGGTGCAAAATATTTCGGGCTATTTTCTATCGAGACGTAAATATTTGTTATGAGTTATTAACTTGCCATTACATTTTTGTTAAGTAAAGCTATGCCAAACAGTTGACCATTGATATTAATTTAATTCCGTTATGATTTTGTAAATATAGGCTTAATAGCTGGTAGGATATAATTTTAAAGTAGTAAGATGTGTATTGGTTAGCCAGAAATTGGATAGAAGGTCCTAAAATTTTAAATCGATTTTAGATTGAAAAAAAATGTATGACGCGTGCAGGACTTGAACCGGTATCCACAGCGTTCCATTCTATTGCCTGGCCTGACGCTGTAGCTCAATTGGTTAAAGCAACTGCACCTGACATGACACGGTAGCTCAATTGGTTAGAGAAACCGCACCGGACATGACACTGTAGCTCAATTGATTAAAGCAACTGCATCTGACATGACACGGTAGCTGAATTGGTTAAAGCAACAGCACCTGACATGACACGGTAGCTCAATTGGTTAGAGCAACAATACCTGACATGACACGGTAGCTCAATTGGTTAGAGCAACAGCACGGTACGCTGTGAATGCCAATTCAAGTCCTGCCCGTGTCGTAAACATTTTAGATTTTTAATTTATATGGTGCCACCATGTGCAATAACATGTGTAAATATAAAAGTTTTAAAAAGTCCTAAAATGTTAGGTTACTTTGATTTGCGTAGTTGGAAGATTCATTCCAATTTGGTACTTGTTGCTACGTATTTAAACTCATTTTCCATTGAAGTGTGATTCATTTTAAAATGCCTTCTATACAAGGACTGGATAAATACGAAGTAATTGTTTATCGGTGTATTTTTTTAATAGAAGTCCATTTTTGAGAGCGCCTGGTTGAAATGTCTATGATAATCTAAGATATTTTAAAAATATTTAAATGGGAATGATTCGGTGTTACAGGGCACTATCTAATAAACAAAAAGATCCAAGTTTTAAGAAAATATGATTTTAGTTTAATTCGCAACATGTGTGTTATATCGGCGTTACGTAACAGTTCTGTAACACCGGTTTTCTTATTTGACCTGTCTACGCTAGCCGAGCCAGAGCGAATCAAAAACTTTACGCTGCTTGTAAGTTCGATTATCGTACAATTATTCTTCGAGCAATCGAGGAGTTAACATCTCCTGATGATGCCGTCCGCTCGTGATGGCGAAACGTTAAACAGCTCGAAAAACAATGATATGCTGAATTATGGCCGTGGAAGCCTTACACAATTTATTAGACCATAAATTAACCATAAAACTAAATTGGGTTCATTCTCGCTTTTTTGTGTTTTTGCCTTTACTCTTGCTCGGTTTTAGTGTGGAAACAGCTTTAGGTATAGCGAAATGGTTTAACACCTTGAAACAGGGTAGGCAAAAATAGAAGTACGTGAACATTATAGCCATTATTGTTGTAAGAGATGCAATGAAATAAACAATATAACTTATCTTTGTTTTATTTAAAAAAGTCTTATCCTATAATACTTATTGGTATTCGTGAACATTGTCGATGTTTAAGCCATGTCTTGGCCTTTGCCCATGCGCCAGTAATTTCCTTTTAGCGCCATTAGTTCAGCGTGGGTGCCACGTTCCACTATTTTACCTGGAAACAAACATGAAACAAAGCCATAGAACATTGCGTTTACTTCGGTTCTAAAATGTGAAAGATATAGTATATAAATTTTAAATTTATTAAACCGACGTTATGAATGCTCTAACAGGCTCGTTCGCATCCCCACCAGGTTCAACGTTTTTCTAATAATTTATCTAAAACATGTTGGACTTCGAAATCTGGATATTAATTGGGTGGTAGGAAAATATAAATTACGTCCTAGTCACGTCGGTCGTGATCCACAGACGAAAAAGCCGTGAAGTTTAATCGCGTTTCGGTTTCAGTATATAAAAGGGCCACGTTAAAGGCTGCAAGCCTACAGTCCCAGTTGTGGGACTGGGAGCTGATGAATATTCTTCTGAATTCATTTCAAGCTTTTCATTTACCTTTATCTACCACGCAGATCAGGTCTGCGTCCTTGATCGTTGACAACCGATGCGCAATTGTTATACAAGTGCGTCCTTTAGCCGCTTTCTCTAATGCTTCAGACACCGCCTTGATTTAAAAAAAAGATACTTATACAATAAAGTATTTGTTTCTTTTTATAAAAAAAAAAAACGAAAAATTACATTAACAAAACACAGACACAATAAACATTTCCTTTCGTCTTACTATTCATAAGTTATTATAAAAATACCCGCTCAATTAAAAATCGATTATATTGAAGATATTAACGACACGGGCAGGCATCCGCAGCACGGAAGCTGTTTCTCTAACTATAAGTTTTTCAACCTGCATACATGCACCTCTGTGGAAAATATGGGAAAATAGTTTTCAATACCCGTTCACTATTAGCGTCCAATGCTGATGTTGCTTCATCGAGCAAGAGTAGACGCGGCGATCTAATCAACGCCCTGGCTATACATATCCGTTGTTTCTGCCCACCAGACAATTGGGCTCCACTTGCACCCAAATTCGTATCATAACCCTAAAAATAAATGTACAAAATTTCCATTACGAAATATAAAAAATGAACGGGGCACCGAGCCTGTTTTACTGATCGACTTTATTTACAAACGTGTCTGTAAATAAAGTCGATCAGGATTGTGAGGATTTACAGACAGCTGAACAGTATTCTGCGCAACGTTTTACTCAGAAATATATACAAATAATTGCCTTGTTAGTCTAGTGGTTAGATTAGCATTCAACGAGGTCAAGCGAAGTTTGAGTTTGGTGTTTAGATTTTCTCAATGAAAATTTGATATCGAGATGTGACATAGAATGTAACTTTACTTGAAAAAGACGTACAGCTATCATAAAGTAATTATTAATTTAGTAGCCGTAAATTCCACCTACCCGCAGTGCAACGGAATGGTGGGTTTAAGTTGTCAAATGATCTCTTTTATGTGAACACCGGTGCTTAGTAGTGGAACATTAATACTGATGACAGTTCATACCTTTGGCAATGAAACAACGAAATTGTGGATGTTAGCGGCCTTTGCAGCCGCGATAATCTCGTGCATAGTCACTTTACGGTTGTTGTCGCCATATGCAATGTTTTCGGCTATTGTCCTATCGAAGAGAACTGGTTCCTGCTGAACCACTCCGAGTTGACGTCGCAAGCGTGGTACTGTTAGCGATGAGTGGATGTCGCGGCCGTCTAATTCCTGGAGGAAATAAAATGTGATATCAAATAATACTATTTTTTTGTGTCAGACAATGTATCAGCAATTTTTTTTTTGGGTATTCAATATTAGGACCTCACAATGTTAACGCCAATATTATTTATGTAACGTATTTAACCATTGCCTAGCAATAAATATTATAATAATATGTAAGATTGTGTGCTAACCTTACTTGATATATTCTGGGTAATTACTAAAAGTTAAACTCCAAGATATTGTTAGGATACATTAAAAGAAGTAAAGACAATTTTGTTTACTTTTATTTTTTTGAAAATAATTGTTATCCCGTTTACCCCTCCGAAAATATTTGTGTCAGTTTTCGTTACCAATTTTTCTTTGAGAGACGTAGTATAGTTGAGATCAGAATTTCGTACCCTGCTCGACCGAACAATTTATCGTTTCCCCCGGATTCTCGTGCCTAACGCAATGCGTTCAAGAGGCAACGGCTTTAACGTTAAACTGAGCATTGGCTCAGCAACGCTTTAACGAAACTACGAAGGTGGCCTTCCAGCTTCCCCAAATTACAATAAAAAAATATCCACAACAGAGTAAAAGCCGTAACGTTCCACTAGTTTATTGTAGTATAGCAGTATACAAATCTATTCTGGTTGGGCTTTCGCCTTCTGTATTCTAATCTCTCTTTCTCGGAGTCTCCTCTCTCTTTCAAATTCCTTCATCCTGATGACGTAGTCATTGTGTTCACAGTTCAAATAGGCGTGCTTTTCATGAGCACATCTGTATAAAAACGGCATATGCTTATATCGGCACACTTCGTACTCCAGAAGACACTGCGCACAATAATCCCTGTATTTGGGCGGTATTTTCGCCGATATAAGTTCGTCTTCGCTCGCGCAATATTCCCTTTTCTTTCTTGAATACTTGAAACCAACTTTCTCATCAAACGTTGGTTTGTCGTTCATTTTTAAGTCCAAATGCCGCGTGTTCCAGGTGCCCATTATTTGTCCCATTTTTTATATTTCGTAATTTATGTTAAGTAGAACGCAAAGAGATTAAATAAAGACTTTCAGTTAAATGGCGTTATTTTATAATTTTTCAATTACTTTATAATGGAAATAAAAATGACAAAGTTGTCAGAATTAAAAATGTAGTCACTTTTAAGTATTCGTTGGTAGGTACAGACAATAAATAAATGATTACAATAATAATCACCATATATGATTATAAAATGTGATCTATCGGAGTTTACATATATATGTTGAAGCATGTCTGGAATGTTCTAATATGTATTTTAAATTAAAAGACATGGTTTTATATTGTAAAATAAATCACTTTTCTTCTCGACACGATCAGTGCGACATGAGAGAGTGAGATTTGAAACGCAGACGGCACTTGTACCGGCACCCACAGCGTTCTGCACCGCTGCCCTATTTTTCTGCCCAATTGACCTACCGTCTACACGTCATCGTTGAATTTCTTCAATCCATTGACACTCGTACCTCTTGCACAATGTAATTTCTACCTTAACACTTACGTTACGTTTTCATGATACAACAATTATGGAGCCAGTTTTATAAATAATTGACCTTTAGACCTCGGCTAAATATAGTTTATATTATGGCAGTAACAAACTTACAATATTTCCAGTATCGGGATCGTAAAATCGTTGAAACAGTTGCAATATTGTGGACTTTCCACAACCCGATGAGCCAACGAGAGCGACTGTCTTCCCAGCTTCTACTTTAAGGTCTATTCCTCTTAAAATTCGCTGATTCGGCCGTGTTGGATAGCTGAACTCTACTTCCTTGATAGAGAAGTTTCCTGTTGCAGCCTAGAAAAACAATAGTCGGGAACAAATCAAGCTTTATTTACATTGTACTGCGTAAATAGCTTCAAGAATTTTAAATGTAAGAATGAAATAGAATAGAAATCAGTACAGGAAATTGTCACAATTAAGGAAATTGGAACAGACACCATCATGAATGCAGTGTGTAGCGATCCTTTATGTCCCGAATGCAAAGAGTGTTAAGAAACTATTTATCTACACACTAAAATATCTATCTATTCAAATTAAAGAAAACACATAGGCACTGATGACATGACAGAGGATAATAGTTTTCTATTATAAATTATTTTATTTCCACCTAAATTAACGATGGATAACGATAGATTTTACAAAAATGCCGGGTGGTTTGAAGGGGACATAGTGAGAGTTTTATATCCCAACGTCCTCCGCCAAGGAGAATGGGGAAATGGGTGAAATGGTTAGTAAACAGTGTAGACTGTCCGCAATTGAAAATAACATTAATATGCTGTATGATGTATGTAAATAACTGAGCTAACGTTCTTAATACGAAAGGTCACGGGTTTCTCTAAGAAATTTACAAAAAATATGATGCGGCCACAGAAATATGTCCCTCCCTGCCCAATATATTGAAAAAACGCTATTTGACTTATGTCTTACCCAATCCTTCCTATCCTTTAGGCCAGGCTTCGTTTGGACTTTCGGCTCCCGGTTTATGATGGACACAATTCTTCCACCGCATGCCCTAGCTGAATTAAAACTCGGAGCGTAGACAAGTGACTGGCCTAACATGTAGGCACCGTACATAAGAGCTTCGTTTACTCTGTGAAACAAAAAGAGTAGCTCACAATAGAAAGACATTTAACTAAAAAAACATTAAATAATACAAAATTGTTTTATAAACATTTATAGACGTCATGGTAATTGCTTTTAGATATTGTCTACGCGAGTAGTAGACATTTAAATAAAACACTAACGGAACAGCACGGAACGCTGACGATGCCGGTTCAAGTCCTGCCCGAGTCGAAGATCTTTTCAATTTATTTTCGATTTTTAAATTACACTTCAATTTAAAACGCGATATATTCGTTAAACTTATTAGAAAATGATTTTTAACTTCGGCCCGACGTTTCGGATGCGAACACAGTTTAACTATCTATCGCGTTCTAAACCGTTAAAGTGTTTTATTTAAATAGATTTTTTAGTTTAGGTACTAATTGAAAAGTTGTTACCAGATGAACACCAAGTTCCTACCATGAGATGGTAGCAACTTGTTGGATGTTGTTATTTGATATAATCTGTCCACGAAGTTCATTTAGCCCCAAGTTTTTTTTATTACAATTGGGTCCTTAAAACTGTTAAAAAGTTGCTTTAAAAAGTTATCTCGTATTAATTAACACAATTATATTTACGTGTACGCGGTTAAATATTTATACAAAATAAAAGAGAGCAAAAAATGAACAGGGGATATTTCTTAATTACTCTAAATAGGTAGGATTAAGTTAGGTAAGGTACTACAAACAATACTTACAGCAATACAATATTATATTGTAGTCCTTCGTACGCTACTAAAGTTGTGCCGTAGACTGTAGCGGAGCAGTAAGACATAAATGGGACGTAAATCCCCAAACCGAGGACTAAGCCCCTCCATCTCGTCTTAGCAGTGACAGCAGCACATGATTCGAGCAGTGCGTCGTGAAACTTCTTCAGAAAAACTTTTTCCACACCTGCGAACATATAAGTGCAAATCGATATTATAAATAGTAATCTACACTAAAATTATAAACGGAAAGAGTTCGTTTGTTCGCTAGCGTACTCCGGAACTAAGTAACTTCGGTTTAAATGAAACACTTTAACGGTTTAAAACGCGATATATATTAGTTACTTATTTGAAAATGATTTTTAACGTCGGCCCGACGTTTCGGATGCTTTGCAGCAGCCGTTGGTCACGGGGAGACTAAAGATGGAGGCTGTCTCTGACGTCAAAGTGAAAAATTGCTACGCCCAATCGTTCGGATTACAAATCACGTCCACAGTTGAAAAAGCCGGTAAGTTCTATGACGTTTTCGTTTCAACTATTTTGTGGACTTTCTAATATCCAAAGCGAAAATAACAACGCATCTTGTTTTGATGTTATATGGCTGGGGTTTCTTCTACCATCAAGTGAAGGCCACGCTTGTTTGTCCTCATGTTTTATAAAAAAGATTATATTTCACCTAAGCTCTGCACAGTCTTAATACTGACGACAGCCTCGGTGGCGATAGACGTCGCTGATTCCATCGCGTCTCGCTCATCGGATTGGGACTTCTGTGAAATTCTACCTTCTAGCCAAATACTGCCCACCATCTGAAATGATTAAATGTTTATACACTTTAATATTTTTCACATGTCACAAGATTTTATTATATAAAAAAAACTTTTACGATACGAACAGAATAAATTCAGCAATGACGTGTAGGACAGGGTGGCTCAATTGGTTAGAGCAACAGCACGGAACGCTGTGAATGCCGGTTCAAGTCCTACCCGAGTCATAATTGTTTTTAAATTTTTAATTCATAAACGTATATATTCTATTATATTCTAATAATATTTACCAAAGGCAAGAATGCTGTCCCGACCAGAGTTAGCTTCCAGTCATATGAGATAGCCATGATAAATCCGACCACAACTGAACTCGTTCCTTGAATAATAAGACCTATTCTAAGACCAGTAGCGCCCTGAACTTCAGCCGCATCGCTACTCAATCTAGCGCAAAGGGCACCAACAGTATTCTTCTCTTTGTCAAAGAAACCGATTTCCTGTAATAAATACGTATATGTATAAAAGAAGCTAAAAAAAGTATTGGAAAAAAAGTTAGAAATCTTATCAAGGCCAAAGATGGACTTCAAAAATTACTTTCTGCAGTCCGCAGAATAGTTATTTTGAGCATCCAAATTTGTTTCTGCGATATTCCCTTATTTTAAAAAATGATGGCTGACCCACGACGTCGTCCCGTCGTTCTTACAAGGTTATCATAAAAATTTGACTATACTATCGTAGGCCTTTTTTTTAGATCATTTAAAGAGGAATCCGCGACAGAAATCCCTAAACACGAAAAATTTTCCCCGTTTATTCCACATTTCCCGCTGTTTCTTCGCTTCTATTGGTCGCAGCGTTATGTTATAACCTAAAGCCTTTCTGGATAAATGCTGTAACCAACACAGAAAGAAATTCAATTCCAACCAATAGTTTTTGAGATTAGCGTGTTCAAACAGACAAACTCCTCAGCTTTATAATATTAGTATAGATTATCGCAATTGATTTTAGAAACATACTTGTTTAAGTAAAGCGCCAAAATACTGATATCGTAGTCTTGTCGTCATTTTAAGGCCGGCATTAGTAAATGTTGCACTTTGCAGACACATGGACAGACCGGCGACTGCTGCCACGACGACGAACATTCCAGAATAAAGATCAGCCAGGGAGATTATTTGATTACGATCCGGTAAGACGTAGATCTAAACAGAACATATATACATACAATCATTTATTTAATGAACTAAGTATAGTAGCGATGAGGATCGAACTTTGCATTGATTAGCCGTATGGACGTAAAATTTATTTAGAGATTTAAGTATTCTGACTTTTAAGAACTTATTTGAATGAAGGTGAATGTTAGAAATCTGATACTATTTAGATTCGTTTCTCTGGTTCGATGAAACTGGTTCAGAAAAAAAAACCGTAATAAAACCTAATAGGTAAACACGGTTTTAGATGAATAAGCGATATTGTCAATTGTCTGTAATTTGCGACATTGGTACACATTTAACTGAATCGAGTTTAACGGTTTTAAATGATATATGTACTAAACTTATCTTTTCATTGACGTTTCGGATGCTTTGCAGCAGACATGGTCACTTTTTTTCTGTGTTGGTGAAAGTTAACCTACCGTTTAAAACCGTTGGTTAAAAAGAAACACTATCAATGTTAAATTAAAATTGTTTCATATAGGATGTCTGTTCGTGTAATTGTGTTTGTGGACTTTGACGTACCCCAGCTGTGAATCCAAAGAGTAAAGCGAAAACGGGAAAACAACAGCCTTGGGCGAACGCAGCGATCGACCCAATCACAATAAAGGGCCATTCAGGAGCGTTCAGTTTCAATATTTGCCAATCGTTTAGGGGTTTTATATCCTGAAAAAAAAAAAACATATTTTCTTTTAAATGATCAAACTAACACCGGATGTGCTGTTTGTATTCTTTATGTATTAAAGACACCACCGTCCACAATAGCTATTAATTTTTTAAGTGGACACAAACAAAAGACGAGATTAGAATAAATAATATAACAATTACATTAAAATTATGATAAAAAAAAAAAGAGATGGGCCGATACTATAAACTATTATTTTATAATTGTATACATAGTGTGATAAATAATAATAGTTAATTATTAAGATGGGAAAAAGAATTTTAAAAAAAAAAAATTAAAGGGTTAAAAAGGGGAAAAATAGTTAAAATTTTTGAAAAAGTTTTTTAATTTGGGCCCCCGTGACCATGGCTGCTGCAAAGCATCCGAGTAAACGTCGGACCATTGTTAAAAATCATTTCCAAATAAGTTTAACTAAAATCGGTACTACTGCGTAATCAGCGGAGTTTTTTTGATATTTGTACTCGTTTAGCTCGAAATGGGAACTTATTGATATAATACCTAATATTCGGCCCCCGGGGGGGGGAGGCAGGGTGACAAAGTTGGTAAGAGGTGGGAAAAAAAATGGGGCGGGTAAAACTCTGTACTCGTTACTCGACAAAGGCGTTACTCAGCGCATCTCTGTTAAATTTTAACTTTTCGATCAATATATTTTGTTTAATTTATTTATTTTAAAAATGGCTAGCATTAAAAGTTATTGATAGAATATATTCGGAAATTCTAACTTTTCGACATTTACCTCATCTTCATCAATTTTATCTTCTTCTTCTGACTCGAAATCATTGTTATAAACGAAGTTTTGTATTCCTGTAGATATCACAGAAGATATTGATCCGCGAGGCGTCATCCAATCATGAGAATCTGAAATATTTCATTTCGAAATATGTATACTACTTACTTCAGCAACCACGAGCGAAATTAATATTTAATATATACAAAATAATTTTAACAGTTTAAAACGTGTAAAGCTTCCGAAACTTCGGGCTGTTGTTAAAATAATAAAAAAAATAAGTAAAATAATATGTTATACGTTTAAAACCGTTAAAAGTATTTTCAAACCGTGTTATCATTGTATATAGATAAATGTAGCTTGTATTATATACTATAAGATGATGAAAGTAAGCACATACTACTAGCCTAGTTTAAAACAAACTACCCTAGTTTCTCAGTAAAAGTAGTTTTATTAAAAGTGTAATATAATAATAGATAATAGGAACTATTTCTTATTATCATCTATTGTATTTCCGAAAAGCGAGAGAAGGTAGCAAAATATATTTTTAAAATTTTTGAAGAATTGATGTATGTGTATTTAGGTTTATACCTTTTTTTGATTTAACTTAAAAGATTGCGTCTAAATCTAAGTCTTAAGTCTAAGTTAAAGATTTAGGTGTCCAATTTTTAATACCTTAGACTCTAATAATACCTCGTTTCATAGAATGATGCCTGACTATTCGTTTAGTTGATCTTCTTTTGACGTCAACTCGCGGTGACAAAGACACTTCAGTATCGTCTCCACCATCTGGTTGTTCTTCCTGTAAGGTCTCGATAACATCGGGCTCTTTGTTCCCATTGCCTGTTGTTACTAGTTTATAGTAGAAACCTATGATTACAAAAAAATAATATATTTTAAATATTCACATTGCTTGTTAGGCCAGTTTTGGTTAAGATTCTTTCGTTACCTTTGGATTTCATAAGTTCTTCGTGGGTGCCTTGTTCCACAATAGCACCTTGATCCATATAGATTATTCGGTCTGCGTTTACGATCGTTGACAGCCTGAATAGAGGAATCAAAATTAAAATGGACGCAAAATACTATAAGTAGTTAGCAGAATTTAAAATATTATTAACTGCGTTACTTTGTATCAAACTACAAACACTTCAACACTACAACTAATTCTAGATCCACATTTTAGCTATCGTCGATTGTTAAACCTTTTTATTTTAAAATTACAAAAAGATATTGAAGATAAGATTGATATTGAGATAAATGATTTATAAAAGAATAAAAATTAAGAATTAACATTGTCTTCATGAAATATATATTTTTAATCGGAAATAAATATCTCCAACTGGTAATGCCGATATAGTCTACCTGTGTGATACCATAAGTGTGGTCCGACCAACACTAGCCCGATCAAGTGCTGCCTGGACCTGTCTTTCTGAATGAGGGTCTAAAGCAGACGTAGCTTCATCTAAAAGTAAAATGGCGGGTTCGCGAAGCAGTGAGCGAGCTATAGCTATCCGTTGTTTTTGCCCACCAGATAAAGAGGCTCCTCTTTCGCCTATGAAAGTATCGTAACCCTGGAATATCGAAACATTTAGTTATAGAGCCCGAGTGGATCCAAATGACGTACATTTTTTTTTTATAGAAGGGGACAGACATACATGGCGTTCACTCGATGAAATGTGAAATACCCCAGCCTTGTAACATACACAAAATGTGCTGTCGACCTATTATGGCTGAAACCATTTCTGGACGGTGGTTCGTGACCCTGACGGCATTTCCATATTCCTACCACCCACTTAATAGCCTTCCAGACGAAGTCGAACATGTTTGAGAAGAATTACAAATTGTTTAGAACATTTTTGGAACATACAAACAAATTTTCCCTTTTTTTTTGTTCTTGTGAACAAACTTAAGTTTTGCCGCTGAACAGTCTGAAAGGTTGTAGTATAAAGTATGAAAGACTTACATTGGATAGATGCGAGATAAAGTCGTGAGCGTAAGCCATTTCTGCAACCCTTTGAACTTCTTCCCTGGTAGCTTCCGGGCAGCCGATAGCTATGTTTTCGTAAATGGTACCTTTGAAGAGTACTGGCTCCTGCCCAACGACACCTGGAGAGGCAGAGTAATAATTTAATCTTACAATTTTTTCCAATAAAGCAGAGAGGTACTACGTCTGTTTCGGCGAGAGGAAAAACCTAGGTATCACATTTTACAACTATATTTCACAGAATTTCAAAAAAGAGTCAAGTTAAACTATTCTCATAAAGACTTTTGGGTGATACGTTTTGTATATTGGCAAGACACATTGTCCGACTTTATTCCTCCTTCTTATCCTTATTATTAAATTGTATTGATATATTGGTTTGTAAAAAAAAATGTTAAATGGTCGTGGTATTGATCTTTTAAATAAGAAACTTTTAACGTTTGAAACGAAAGTTATTTTTTAATTAGCCCTTTTAAACCGATAAAACATTGGGCATTTAAATTACTCGCATACAGACAGTTAGTTGATTTCAAATTTATAACGTTACTCACCTAGAGATGATCTCAGCCAGCTCAAATTGAGGTTCCTGACATTCTTTCCGTCGATTTTAACAGTCCCCAAATGGGGGTCATACAGCCTCTGCAGTAACTGCAATATCGTGGATTTACCACAACCGGATGACCCGACCAGTGCCACACATTCTCCCGCTTTGATGTTAAGAGAGAAACCTTGAAGAATCTTTACATTGGGTCGGGATGGATAGGTGAAGTGAACGTCTTCTAAAGATATCTCGCCTATGACGCGTCTTGGGGATATACCTCCTTCAGCTAAGCAATCTATGACGGGTTTTCTATCGAGGAGTTGGAACACACTTGTGGCAGCACCGCGAGCTGACGAAAATATCTCCATGTGCGGTACACAAAGCGTGATGGATTGCGTTGCCATGTACACAGCGAAAAGGATCTGAAATGAAAATGTGTGTCTGAGGTTCTGTTCCCCGCCTGGGTCATGAGACAGGTTTTACCTATTGCAGACGTTGGAAGAAGACGCAGCGAAGGAACTATGGGAACAGGTGCCTGAGATAATAAGTTAGTAGAGAATAATACGATGTTAGCTTGAGAAGATAATACCAATTATGTAGGTGGATTAAAGCATAAAAAGACCATTTTAAAATCTTGTTATTTTCTAATACATGAATTTAAATAAATATTGAAAAATAGATCGAATTAAATCAGAATGGTGGAATGGTGGGATGGCACTCGTAATTCGTAGCTTTGGGTCATTGGTTCGATTTACGCCTCGTGTAATTTTTTTTTATTATATGAAAAATATCTTTCAGCTTTACGACATTACAAAATGGAGCACCATGTGAACTATAAGCCTCAAAAACGACATGTATCGAAATTGAGTTGTTACCCCATGATTCCATACAACTTCCAACTTATACAGCATGTTTTATAAATTCTTATTGAAATTTATCGCGACAATTTACTGTTCTACTTCAAATGTCAAACGTGGGGCATCACTGAAAAATCAGTGTACTTCCAGGTGCAACAAAATCTGAATGGTGTCTCTCCACATATATCATCCTACTAAATTTATAAACGTGAAAATTTGTATGTGTGGATGGAAGTTTGTTACTCTTTCACGCAAAAACTACTAAATGGATTTCAATTAAACTTTCCAATTTCCAATAATATAGCTTATACATCAGAATAACACATAGGCTACAATTTATAAAGATATTGTGTGAGCTGTCCAAAATATGGCATTAAGTGCCAAGTAACTAGGAAAAAACCTACCTTTCTGCGAGCTATTCTGGCGTGCACTGCCATAAACGTTAGCTACACATAATTATTTAATGTATGATATGGTAGACATAATTTAGTTTAAATGCGCGATACTACGTAATCCCAATCCTAAACCTGCGCAGACGAAGTCGCGGGCACCAGCTTGTTTACTATATGTATTATTGTATTTTTATGTGTGTGGATTGGATTTAATTTGAAACTTCTACTTACACTGAATACTATACCAACGAGGTATTTTCTTTCATCCGTCGGCTTATCCATATCTATGAGAATAAGTCGGGTTCCGTATGTCAGGCCAATAGCATTCAATGAGTACGTCAGAACCCAATTGAAGCCAGTACCCAGTCCTGTATACAAGCCACGTTTTCGACCATATTTTTCAGCGGGTTCCAATAATCGCCGATATCTGGGGTTAATAAAATATTTGTATTTATTTGCATAGGATCTATAGCTACACCTTTAAAACCCTCGTATCAGTATAAAAGTATACATACATAATACCTAACATCGAATATTAGTTGCAGTGATAATTAAATTTAGTCATCGCTTTTTGGTGCGTTTTAAAAAAACCACTCAAAACTACAATACAAGGATTTTACAAAATAATTGTTACTATTAAGATTGTTTCTATCATTAGTTACAATTGAACTAAATGTTTATTTAGATCCATTTGAGATCGTCTCTTTCGTAAGTGGTATGTTCCACACGCAACAGTTGTAGTTGGCGCGCTTCAACAACTACCCTCATTAAATTAATGATAAATGTCGGCACCGACGGCTCGACGTGCTTATTTCATTAAATAAACTATTTATTTTAGTACAGTACCTTTCAACTTCTTTACCCTCCCCACCAAAAGCAACGATAGTCCTCACTGACTTCAATACCTCTTCTGCTTGTTTTCCAGCCTGACTGTAGGATCCCATCTCTCGCGCAGACGATCTCGTTTGATACTAAAATCATAAGTATTATTAATGATCTTCACATTAATCAATCTTAATTAATCATATTTTCAACGGCTCTATCTATACAAATTTAAATGGAATTAGAATTTATGAGAAATAGCCAACAAAGATGGAGGAAAGAGGGTAGTTAATCAAAGTAAGGTTATATTTATTTAACGGCCCTCGTGCTTTTAATTAATAACTAGATAAATCATAACAAAACAATACATACATTCGACAATATGACAGATGCTGCTATCGAGAATGGAACAACGGAGAAACAGGCTAGAGTGAGTTCCCAACCTTGAGGAAAAGCTTGACAAAGGCATATAATCGCTGTGCCAACAAGATTAGCCACTACGCCAAGTTTCTCTCCCATACCTTCTTTGAGTTTCATCATGTTTCTAAAAACGTCAGCTAGTTTTATAAAGATTTACTATATGCTTATAAATCAGCAATTCGGGTAACCCAAAGGTGCTTCAAAATGTTACAGAGGCACTTGTTTCCAGTTAAAAGATCAACATTTTGATTATCGCAATATTTTCGGCTACTTAAATGTAAAAGAGAAGAACACTTATTTATTTTATTTGTATGTGTTACATGTACATTTTTTTATCGTTTGCATTTTCTTTATTAATTATAAATAATATAACAAACTCCTATTTCATACTAAGCCTTTATTACAATTATATATATTTTATTATATATATATATATAATGTATATTATAACAATGGTTTTACCAAAAAATTTATTAATATAATTAATACACGATTTGATTAGTCATACTTAGCTCGTAAACTTACTCCGACATTTTCGTAGCCAAGTTGAATTCAGTATCTGTGTCGTACCAAGTCATATCTTGTCGAAACACGGATTCCAGGAAAATAAGACGTATTCGAGTTATCTGAAAATTTACTTTCATTATTAACCCATAACCAAAACCACCAACACCAAACCATCTTTCATCTAAAAACTATTTTTCTTATAATAGGTTCCAAAATCTCTTTTCACTTTAAGTTATATTAAGATATATATCTTTAATATCGTTGCGTTTAAATAAAACAATTTTAACGGTTTAAAAGGCAAGATATATTATCCAACAATTTTACGGCCAGGCTTCGCTCCCCCCACGATAACGTCCGATTCAAAAAACGCGTAACGTTGGGAAAAAATTGGCCCATATATGGTGTTTTGTACCGTTAAAAGTGTTTCCTTTAAATGTGTACTCGCGTAAGCTACACACATATATTCATATCGATATGTATTCGTTATTCATTGTACCATATCAATAAAAAATAATCGTTTAAAGACTGTAAATACGACACAAGGTTGTCAATTAAAGCAATTGGCTTGGACAAGCGCGGATCTACTCAGCGTGCCCAAGAACGAATCAATTAAACATTTTTGGAAATCAATTCACTCTTTCAATAATTTATAAATTTTTCAAAAGGCATGTAGGTAAGATATTTTTTTGATGATAGAATAGGACAGGATTCATTTTATGAATGGTGAAACATCCAAGACTTAACATCAATTTAGTATAGGAACTGCCACCGTGGTGCAACGCGTTGAATCACGTTAAATGCGAGAGGTCCTCCTTTCGAAACCCGTGGAAAAACTAGACAGTTCGAGACCAGGCAGTGAAATCTAATTGTCTGTAAACAACTCGATTACTGAGACAGACACAAAAAAATGTCTGTCTCATAAATCTTTTAGGATGCTCGCAAATATTGAATTAAGTCGTAATTAAGTTACAAACGAATGTTCTTAAATCTATATTAATATTAAAAGCTAAAGTGTTTGTTTAAACTCGCTAAGTTAAGTTAAGTGTTGGATAGGCTATTTATCGAGAAAGGCTTTATATGCCACCAATAGAGTATAGAAACAGCGGAAAATGTGGTCAACGGGGAAAATTATAAAACTTGAAACTACCGTCGCGTGCGCTGCGAAAACGTTTGCAAAAACTAACACACGCGGCTGTTTATGTCTGTCTTTTAATAACCGCTCTTATAGCAATAAAATTTGATCGAATTTTTTTTCTGTTAATAATTACTTTAACCGTTTAAAACGCGATATATATTAGTGAAACTTATTTGTAAATTATTTTAACTACGGCTCGACTTTGCAGTAGCTATAGTCACGGGGAAATCCTGATAATATATATCGCGTTTCAAATCGTTACAGTTGTTTATTTGAACGGGTACTACTCGCGTAAACTACAGACAACAATTAGGTATCAACATAATGGCGAAGCTACCGCTGGAAATGTGACAATAATTGGAAAAATAATTCATCATTACGAGTTTCCGAGGCGTACGCTGCAAAAACGGTTCGAGATACCCAAGAAATATGTATAAGAGAATGATTCTTCTTTAAATAATCTAAAAAAAAGTCCGCGACGCTATATGTCTATCTTATAATAATATATTCCAAGAACGACGGGACGCGACCGACGTCGTATAAACTAATTCTACGCGGACGAAGTCGCGAGCATCCCAGCTAGTTTATTTATAACGCAAGATTAGCTCATATGAAATTGTTTACCTGTCTCAACGCACTCCAACTAATAAGAGACACTGAGAGAAAGCACAGCACTAAGGAAATGAAGACAGAGATAAAAAGACCAATCGCCATCGCCTTTCCGTCTTCCACTAACGCCTCCATGTTTTCTTCGTGTGACGCATTGTTTCTGTAAAGACAATAATACAATATTGCATTCTATTAGACAACAATAATTATTCATTTACTCATAAGGATAAGACCTTTTAAAGTGGAATGCGGGACCTAAGGGGTTGTCCATTAATCACGTGAGTCTTGAAGGGGGGGGGGGTGATAAAAATCACGAAAATAACACAAGGGGGAGGGGGGGTGTAGTAAGATATCTCGTGTATTAATTTTTTCGTCAATCGCGCGATTTTTGGTGTAGACATTTTTATTATGGTCCTTAATTTCAGAATAATATAAGATTATAGTTTGTAGCTGTATTTAAATTAAGATAGTATTCAGAAAAATTTAAGATTCTTTGTTGGTACTAAAAATACACGTGATGTTAAGAAGGGGGGAGGGGGGTGGTTTTAAACCCCACTACGTATCCCCAATGGGGAAAGGGGGAAAAATGCTAAAAAAGATCACGTGATTAATGCACAATCCCTAACACTCTGGTCAATGATAAGGCCCTTCAAATCCGTAAGTCCGTCCGTCCGAAGAATTACAGGTTAGAATTGAAAAATTGTTATGTGTTGGTTGGAGCATTTATCGAGGAGGGCTATAGGATATACATTGCCTGCGACTAATAAAGGGAAATAAAATACACATATAGAACGAAACGAGGGAACCGTTTCGTTCTATATGATTTCCTCTGTGGCTTTCAAGTACCTGAAAAACGGTTCAATATACTTGAAAAATTTAAAAAGAATCATTTCCTTTTTAATGATCAAAAAAATAGAGGCTAAGTATATCTTTTAAGATCTGAAAAGAGAAGGACGCATCATTACTAAACCTAGTTTATAACATAGGGTTTGAGAAACTAATTTGATGCCCAAACGATGCTCGCGGACGAAGTCGCTGGCACAGCTAGTAAGAAATATGATTGACATAAAATAACTATTATGATAAAGAAATTAAATTACATAAAAAAAAGTGATGCCAAATCTCAGCATAAGTTGCAGTGCTGCACAACATTAATGTTCAGCAAAACCCTGGACTAAAAACTTAAAACAGCATTTCTTTAATTTGTTTAAAAAAAAATCCTGGAAAGTTTATTACATTGCTATACAAGTAAATACAAAGACAGCGACGTTGTAAAAAGTAAAGTAAACATTAATTGTCATTGTCGAGGGGCGAAGTAAAAAAGTGGTAATACATATCGCGATTAAATCCGTTAAAATCATTGTTAACAAAATATCTTACAGCCTCCTGCCCCCGCCAAACAAGGACGTTAGTGGTAGGTAACTGGATAGTCGATCCTGTTGCGCTGTCCTCTCAACGAACGCTGTACTCAACTCCCCAAACTGCACCAAGTTGTAACACACGCCACCACCACTCAACAAGCCCAGCAATACACCGACGATTGTCGCCAGCAACTCGTACCATTTTGCATACCGATACTGGAATATTAATAGCAACAATAGTAATCTAAACCAGTATTATAGAGCTGAAGAGTTTGTTTATTTGGTCGCCCCAATCTCAGAAACTACTGGTTCAAATTAATAATATTAATTAATCTCTATTTGGCATTCATTTAGTACATTCATTAGTAGTTTTAGTATAAATAAAATTGATGCCAAAAGGGTCTTGCGTCAGCATAAGTTGCAGCACGGTTATGCTGCACTGACTTTCAGCAAAATCCTACTGAATATCAATAAAATAAAACAAAAATATTTGGTTCGACAATTTATCGTGGAAGGCTTTGAGCTATAAAACACCAGTTGGCGACCAATACGAGCGAGGAAACATTGGGAAAAGGGGGGGGGGGAATTATTCATCTTGATAGTCACTGGATGCTTTGTGACAACGGTTCATGATACCCAAATATAAATATAAAATAATTATTCTTCTTTAAATAATCAAAAAAGTGGTCATAAAGGAAGAAGAAGAAAGAAGATTTTATAAAAATAAAAATAAATTATATACTGTCTATAGGTTACGCGAGTAGTACACATTTAAATAAAACACTATAACGGTTTAAAACGCGAGATATTAGTGAAACTTATTTTAAAAATTATTTTTAACTTCGCCCCGACGTTTCGGAATTCGGATGCTTTGCAGCAGCTGTAGTCACGCAGGGGACACAGTCGCACAGCGTCGGGCCGAAGTTAAAAATCATTTTTCAAATAGGTTTAACTAATATATCGCGTTTTAAACTGTTAAAGTGTTTTATTTAAAATAAATTATGGTAATCAAATTCCGTCGAAATACTTCATATGTCAAAAGAACGTATGTCAGGTCAGCTCGTAATGTCACTGAAATTGGTAAGGTCGTAATGACTAGTATTTGTTTTACTAATAAAATAAAACAAAACTCTGACACATGCGAGTACTTTAATTTTAATTTAGACAGGTGTAAGACCAACTGTTATTAGTTAAATACAATTATTTACTGATAAAGAGAGTAAAATATTCATGTAAAAGAAGTAGTTTTGTTTACTTCTTTTACATTAATATCTTACTACTAACTACTAAATAATTTTTAACTTCGGCCCGACGTTTCGGATGGATTGCAGCAGCCGTGGTCACGGGGAGACGAAACGTCGGGCCGAAATTTAAAAAAAATCATTTTCAAATAAGTTTAACTAATATATCGCGTTTTAAACCGTTAAAGTGTTTAATTTAAATGTGTACTACTCGCGTAAACTATAGACAGTATTTAAGATATCTTTTTTCAGCGCTTAACTTGTCTACAAATAAAAATACCTACCTACACGATTTCCTAGTGATATAAAGTTTAGCAAACGTACGACAATAACCTTTGAATTATATGACAATAATCATGCGCAAACTTCAACGCCAGCAGATATAATTATCTTTAGTGTGATCTTATTACTCACAATTTGGAAATATGACGCCGTAGGTTCTTCAACTTTCGCTTCCTTCCTGAAACAAATGAATTATGAAATTTATTCATGTATCTGATTAAACAGGAATATATTTGAATAACCTTGTGTACAGGTTTTGAATTGCTATATCTATACTAATATATAAAACTGCAGAGTTTGTTTGTTTGAACGCGCTCATCCCAGGAACTACGGGTTTGAATTTAAAAAAATATTTTCGTGTTAGATAGAGCATTAATTAGGCTATACAATATCGCGTTGTGACTAATAGAAGTGTAGATGCAGCGGGAAACGTGGAAAAAGCGAAATGCTGCGAAAAATCATGACAACCAAAAACAATTTATGTTCCAAGACCCGAAAAGAAGGACTCCACTTTAAAGGACCCAAACAAATGTCCGCGACGAAGTGGGTAACAGCTGAAACTTATAAAGATAGGTTTGCAAACACAAATTCGAATGCCCAAAATAACTATTACGCGAACGAAGTCGCTGACACAGCTAGTCAGAATACAATACAATTTTATACAACATTGGTGCAACATATGCAAGTGTGCAAAAGTCGAGTTAAGAAAGATATTAAAAATATCATCATAATCAGATGTCGAACGAATTTGGTACGATACAGGTTCGAGTACGGCGCGTGTTTTAATTTTGAACACTTTAATATTTTTCACATGATGGCACTATATCGAAAATAATCGAAAAAAATTACTACTCGGCCAGGACTTGAATCGGCGCCGTCAGCGTTCCGTGCTGTTGCTCTAACCAATTGAGCTACCGAATCCTACACGTCAGCGGCGAATTTTTTCAACTCATTGATACATACTGTAAAATTTTACTTAGTTGCAATATATCTTATATGTAAGTAAATTTTAATTATTAGTCGCATAAACATATTTTATGTAATCTCGGAGTCAACTGAAAATACGCTTAATTGCGCAATAGAGGAACGGAATATTTCCTAATATTACATTTGCATAAATTTAAGTATGTCAAAGAGAACACAATTAAATTGAAACAATACATTTGTTCTTAATTTTTGTTCATTTGAAAGATAATTTAAATTAGTTATACATCGATATTTAGTATGCAGCTTGAAGTGAAGTAATACTAAAAATAAATATATAATTCTTTCACGCGTAATAAATTTTGAACCTAAATATTATCTTAGTAAGAAAGGAGAAGGGATTAAAATAAGTTTTACAGTTACGAAAAAAACTTTTTCTTAAATACTTAGTTTTTAAAGGACAGTATATGCTATACATTATGCTTATACATTATAAATAAGATAGCAACCTTTATCTGTAATTGTTTATTGAGTCAATGGAACAATTCAAAGGGTTTACATAAACTTGGGTTTAAAAGTAATATTACAACTTAAGACTCCCCGTAACGATTCGGCTGCTGCAAAGCATCCGAATCGTCGGACCGTAGTTAATAATTTTCAAATAAGTTTAACTAATATATATCACGTTTTAAACCTTAACGGATGTTTAGTTTAACCATTATTTTTATGTTGTCCAATAAGCAATTACCGTTCAAAATATACAAGATTGCTATGTATATGTATAAAATTTAAAATCAATATTAAGAGTCTTGATAACTTGGTGCGTTCTAATTTCAAAAAAACATTTGTTTTAAATCATTATTACTTTATAGTACGCTAAAGATCAATGAATTGGAACTTGGAAAAACCATTGATTATTGAAACAGACATATTTCTGCATCCGTTCCAAGGGAAAATTCGACTTCATACAGCACGCGCTATTGATGATAACTAGTGTCACCAAGTCCTATGATGTTTCTTATTTAATCCTCATAATCTTGCGATCGTGTTTTACAATGTTTGGCTTCATAATCTCATGTATCTCATTATGACTTAAGTTATCTAATTCTATTGTCATTTGTGAATTCCCTAATGTGATCTATAATTGCTAATAGATCGTTCTTGGCAAGATCAAGATAAAAGGTGTGGCCAATCATTTCTTTAATACCATTATTTGAATTCAATCATTCAATAAATTTAAAAAATATTTTTAGCTTTGAAAATATATTGATGTAGACCCGAACCTGCAATCAATATAATTTGTACATTAAAATTAAACATTTTAACGGTATAAATCGCGAAATATATTCGTTAAATTTATTTGATATTTTTTAACGTCCCCTCGTGTCTCCTGTTAACAGGCTTCCCGTGACGTGATGATTTTCATATTAACTATTATCGCGTTCTAAATGTTTTATTCAAATATGTATATCAAATTTCTCAACCCTTTCTATACACACCCTATTCGAATTCTAACTTCTCATTAATAGTAATCGAAGTAAATGTAGTAGAGTGTCTTAGTGTCTTAGGCGAACTCTACTAAGGCGAACCTCCTAAGGGCGACCACATTTCTGTGTCCGTTTCACCGATCCGTTTTTATTTACAGGCAAGTAGTCCCGATCATTATTTCCCCGGTATTGGAACCCGCGGTTTCTTGCACTTAACGTTATTCCAGGCAAGACGTTTAACTATTCGTAAGTGTCTTGTAGCTATTGTATATGCATCGTTATTTCCCTCTTGGAGTCAGTTCTAACTTTAAAGATTTCTAATTTTGTGCACTGAGATCCCTGGTCGCCAATAAATGCGAAATATGTAAAACATTTACTCTCAGAATGCTAAAACAGAAATGCATATGGAAATATTTGATTAATTCTTCAAGGCTATTTTAATAATTATAGTGTATAATGTGACGAGAGTTGGAACATGATACGCTAAGGAGGAAACAAACAAAACGTAGCAAGGGAACTTTGAGTTACATCATTGAAATAGTATTATAGGTCTCGTTCAAAAGGACACAAAAAACAAACTTTCATGTACAATTTCGTATGTAAACTAATTTAAATAGTGACTCGTGATAACGGCTGAAGTAAAGACTTCATAACGTCAAATCCAAGTTCGCATTTCGGAGCCTGAAATTTGCTAAAGTAAAGAAATGAAAATATTATGCCCCAAAGGATCGTCAACGCATTTAATTATGAATACATCACCGCATCTAACAACTACAAAATGTTGTAATGAACTCAAATTAAGTTTTGGTATATATAACGAATCTTAATAACGATATGGAATAATATATAGGTATCTAACACTGAACTTTGAACAGAAATCTAAAGACGTTGCTAATTTATACGTGCTGAAACACACTGCAAGTAATATATAAGAATAATTCTAAAATAGCTATTTATTATCTGTGAACCACATGTTAAATATATTTTGCTGAAAAAGCTTATTAATAAATAAAGAAGGTCAATGGTTCTAGATAATCTAATGTTAGATACGATAAATAATTAAGTATTTATATCTTAAAATAATATTTGTTAGTATTGAATGACAAACCAAACCGGAACAGATCAACATTTTATAGAATAAAATATAACATTTTAGCTAAATTCATTCTAAGTTCCTACAAAAATAAAAATACCGTGACAATTAAAAAAGCGTAATCTTTTGACACAATTACCATAAATACCACAGATATTTTCTACGCTTTGACGTTATTAAATAAAATTACTTCTAAAAGATATCGGGTATATTAAGAGAAAAAGTGTACTTGTAGTATTTACGTTTAGAATAACTGCAGTAAGTAATATGTGAGTCGATAACAAACACACTATATTCACGTAAAACGAATTAGTTTTACAGACTTAATTTACATAAACGGCAAATAACACGAATAATTTGAAAACGTTGAAAAATATAATTTACGAAAATAACTCCGTATAAACACTTGCATAAAAGCTTAAAAATCGCAGAGCATTAGAATACATTCTATTTTTAAATTTGTTCCGAATTCAAAAAGGTACTCACTCAGATTTTTTTTTCTTATATCCCATGGTGGTAGTGCGTCGCAATTATTGTTTTCATGAAGAAATTTCTGGCGACCCAAGCGTCAACGTCGGGCGTCAGCAGACGCCGAATGGATATTTATTACGAAGAAATTAGCCGGCTCCTCTATATAATACTGCCACGATGACACGAACTATATGGTGATGTTTAGGCAATAACAATCATCTCATTTACGCGTACTTCCTTGGCTTAAATTACATAGATTTTGTACAGATTCTGTGGCCAGGAAAATTTTCCACAAATAAAAAAATAACCACATCGGACGGCTCGTTGTAGTGGTAGCAATGTATGGCTAATCAATGTCGTGGGGGTCCAACATTTCTTTTATCAATTTATATACATTCTTTAGAGACTATAGACTTTGTCTGGCAATCTGGATCATTTATTATCCAGTGGTGAGAATATCGTAATTCCGTCTGGGAAAGAAGGTAATAAGTTTAATCGCATTTCAGTTTCAGTCTGTGCAATTCCGAATATCCAAAATAGATGGACAGAGTATCGTGTTTAGTTCACCTACCATCAAGATAACTCCATATTTGTCTGTCCTGTCTGAGAAAAAAACAGCGCTATTCTTCAGACATCTGACATCTGATATATTGGGAAATTCATTAGGAAACGTCGACGGTTTTTTCTTATTTTATCAATCTATAGTCCGCTTGCAAAAGTATGTTTATTTCAAATGGGGTTTTAGCAATAATTTTTGAAAACAACACTTTCCGCAACAATAAAATCTTCTATAATTGATAGAATTTAATATATTGTGAAGTAGTTTGTGTTCAACTATTATCCACTAACTACTTCAGTTAAAGAAAATGACGCAAGATAATATTATAAGAAAGTGATTGTTGTATATGTTTATTTATTACATAATATTAAACAAGTGATTTTCAACAAGCTTATCATGACTATCATGCCTTTATGACTTTACGCTCATTTAGCATAATTTTAAATGTGTGCAGGTGTTATGTACACAACATGTAAGGTACAAAGATTATAATCCATAGAACAAAAATAAAGCTATGTTATATGTTTATATGTTATGCTTTTAGGCGTATTGCCTAATATTATATCAAGCTTGAAAGAAAAAGAGAAAACATTAATGATTATAGAGCTGTCTGTAGCGGCCTATTCAGTTGCATTCATGTAGAAGTTCTGGATGTAAACATACTAGAGATTAGAAATTAATATGGACAAATTTCATTTGGATTAAAAATCTAAATATATTTCGACGACACGGGCGGGACTTGAATCGGCATCTACAGCGTCCCGTGCTGCTTTAACCAATTGAACTACCGTATCAGCGTTAAATGTAATATAGTTTAAAATGTCTATTAATTATTACTAACAATGTAAAACAATTGGCGACTTTATGTTGTATGTAATAGTCATTTTTTTTAATACAAAAAAACAATATTGACAAATGAAAATCAAGACTTTTCATTCGCATACACCTGTGCGAAACATTGACGTCATTTAATTTATTAATCACAGGTACCTGATAAAAAAAGATGGCTGAGACCAAATATGCGAATATATATATATATATAATATTTATATTTTGGGTGTACAGAATATCACTAGAAAAACATAGCTAGATGTATAGATAAATTGTGTAAAGCTTTCTCGGCCATCGTGCAGCATCATTGTTTTTCGGGTTGTTCGGAAGAGGGTTCTCGACGTTTCGCCTTCATGAGCGGAGGGGATTATCAGCAGATGGTAGCTCCTCGATTGCTCGAAGAAGGTGATGATCACGATGAAGGTGGCCTATAATTTCATACGTTTTATTTCGGCATTGAAGAAATATTGATTTAATAATAATAAAATAATCGATAACGATTTTTGTTGAATTGAAAATATTTCCCTTGATCGTGAAAGGGTTAAAAAGCTTTCATACGCATTTTGAAATTAGATTTTCAAACGGTTCAAAGATTTAGTTGTCTGAATACATTCCATTGAGATGAATTAAACTTGCAATAATAATAGTGATAGGTATGTCTGTATCGTATGTCAATTATTACCAATTGGTTACATAACACACTGTTTAACGATCAACAAATGGTATCGTGTTAAGCAGTATATAGAAATAAGACCGTCAAAGTTAGTCAGTCCAGCGCGGAGACACAAAATTGATTTGGTGGGTAGTTTTAAAAATAAACTATTTCCTTTTCTTAGCGAAATTAGAGAAAATTGTGTGTTTTGTTTTTGGATCAATCGTTTGTTATATCGAAGCCGCTATAAATATTTATTACAAATTTTATTTAATGTTTTTTTTGTCTCTCTAGATTCTCTAGACCTAGATTTAATAAAAAATCCAACCGGTAAACGCGGAGGACCTGACCAGTTTCACCAAATACAAATCACGACGGAACAAATGGCGCTACATACCTAGTAGTTTTATTTTGACATTAGACACAACCTCCATCTTCAGTCTCCCTGCGACCACGGCTCCTGCAAAGCATCCGAAACATCCGGCCGTTGTTAAAAGTTTAACAACTTATTTATTTAATAATATTTTTCAAATTTTAATCCGTTAAAGGGTTTTATTTAAATGTAACTATGCAGCTGCCGTGCGCCCCCCCCCCCCCCCCAGTCTCTCCGTGACCAAGGCTGCTGCAAAGCATCCGAAACGACGGGCCGAAGCTAAAAAACATTTTCAAATAAGTTTAACTAAAATATCGCGTTTTAAACCGTTAAAGTGTTTTATTTAAATCTTTTGACATTTCAATCTAAATAGATTCGATATTTATCGCAAGTCTATTAGATAGACTGAAATGAAGACGCACTGAAGAATCGTTCATTGTTCCTAAGACTTATTGCGAAGGTCATATAAACGATAAGAACCTTGAACACGTTTTATTATGAGCCATATCGTCAATAAGATCTTGTTTATTTCCTAAACGAAATGCTACACGCTTCGCGCTTGTGGCTCAATACGTGTACTTGTTATATCTGCGAGATATCAGCTTATTCTTATAACTGACACATAATGAAAACCATTTCCCCTCGTGGGGCATGGGAACAAATTGTTGTGATTAGACTTCTGTGACAGTAACAGTCTATTGCTCCTCCGGGATTCGAACCTAGAACCTCTCGCTCTTAACGCAATGCCAGGCAACACGTTTAACTATTTAGCTACAGAGTCGGAATTTGGTAAATATATATTGATAAAAATATAAAAGAATCTAAGGAACGATTAAGAAAGAGTGGTCATTTTAAAAGATTGGAGATCTACAGAATGGTTGGAATATCCAAATATAGGGCGATTTGGACGATTTTGGGTGGCAATTGTTGGTCGATAACCTGATTAATTTAGTTAATAATAAATAAAATACATGTTAAGGTGTAAAGTTAAGATTATATTTATATTGAGTTACTTTCAAGAGACCTAGTAAGCCCGCCCTTAAACTTCGGTCTGGCTGTTAAGTGTTATTAAATAACCTATGTAGACAAGTGCTGTACTGATACAGTGACTGGTTCTATTCAAAGTCAAGTTCAAAGTCAAAAATCATTTATCCACGTAGGTACACCTATGGAAGTCACATTAGTTAAAAAGTAAAGACTCTAAATTTACATTTACCAGTTCTCAAATCTATGGCGTAGAACAAACGAGAAGAACTGGCAAGAAACTCGCCGCCACACTCTTTTGGCATAGATTAATTCTCGTATTCACCTACTTTAAGTGCACTACATATTTTTTTTTGTTCATTCGCTACGCGTACCGCTCACCCGGGTGAGCTTCCGTCCAGCTCCTCAAGCTCCCACCCGCATTGCGGCGGTCCAAGCCGAGGTCGTTGCCCCCCTCGGGGCACCCTTGGTCTAGCCGCAAACACGGCGAGCGCTCTCGCGCTCGCCCAAAACGCCCGGTTAGTATTCGTGGCTCCATAGGAACACAATACGTAATAGTCAATTCAAAAAAAAAAAAAAATTTTAGTGTTAAAACGGCCTGTTAAAAAAAGATGTCAAAGTGTTAGTGTAGTGTAAAGAGTTAACTATTACTCAATATTATTCCACATTATACATATGAGTTAACACCTACAATATAAACACACTTTTACTCCTTCTGATAAGAGATAACACTGGTTTGATAATTAATATATTCTAGACTGATAATAAATAACTACTAAAGAGGTTTACGATATGAAGGTAATTTAAACTTTTTCATTTATATACATAACTTGGGTAGTATTAAAAAAAACATTAAAATTCTTTGGTTTATTTAAATAAAGCACTTTATCGGTTTAAAACGCGATTTATATTGAGAAAAACTTATTTGAAAATTATTTTAACAATAATTGATTTATGTTACTTATTTACAAGTAAATGTAAGAAAGGAGTGTTGACATATCCTACTGGGAAACTTTGATACTAGAAAATTTTCTAGCTCCCCTTAGATACAAGGGCATCGTGGTCTACAGGGTAGGTTTACTAGTACACCAACGAGGCAGTCAATAATTTGGACCAAATAATAAGAATATTTTTACCTTAATTTATACGAGTAAAATGTCATGAGTACATCCATGTTGATAAAACATACCTAAATAAATTTGTAAATGTATTTCATAATAATTACGCTTGGAAATGCGGAGTATATTAGTTAACTCCCCCGTGATCATGCCTGCTGAATGCATCGCGTTGTCTAAGAGGGGTCGTAATAAAAAGGAAATTATTATTATTATTATTATTTCATTTAAATGTGTACTACTCGAATTAACTAAAAGGCAATACTTATTTGGAAATGTTAAAAAAAATATAAATAAAGTAGATTTTTTTACGGTTCTTATATGTATTACTATTTTAATGTTGTGTTATTTATTTTTCAACCGCTTGAAGTAGATTCGAATCCCGCCTATCGTCGATGTTTATAAAAATTAAACGGTTTTATTTAGCTCGACCCGTACGGAATTTATTTATTTGGGCCATATTTTAAATTGAAATTTAAGCACCTTCCCGTTGCCAGATTGATCTGAAATTTGGTACACACATTTAATTTTGATGACAATACAATATAATAAAATCAAAAATATTATAAATCTAAGATGGCCGCCGATACAAAATGGCGGATGTACATAATTTTCCTTAATGAAAGGGCTATATTAGATAACGATGATTATATCTTTTTTTTGTAGTTTGCAGTGCACAAAAATAAAACCGTTTAACTTAAAAGTTTTTTTAGGTTGATACTTGTTTCTTGATAAGAGAAATAAATATTTAAAGCATCCAAATTTTACTACCACTAACGACATGAAATCGTTACGTAACATCATTTCCGTGTCGTAAGGAATCGCAATGAATAAATTATCATTTACACATTGTTTATCATTACACAATGCAATCTAGTTATATCTGAATTTGCTGAGTAAACATAATACTATAACAGTGATAGCGAACATTAAACCAAAGAATTTGCGATAAGCTTAGATCCTGATAAGGAAAATAGATGGATGTCTGAACCCGCTGAAAAATAACTGTGACAAAACAACCCTGAGTTTTCATCGAGGGCTAAAGATCTTCAGAAAAATTATAAATTGAAAAATTATAAACACTTTGGACCTCGTAGGGCCCGAACCCACGTCCCGTTGATCGTTAGCCATAATTTGCTACCATTAGACCAACGAGACGTATGTCATAAACGAAAAACAAATACACTCGCACTTATTCCCAACACCCATTCAGCAATTTCATAAATCCCACAGCTGGGACACGAGCCTCCAAAGACACAATCTGCAATATTGGTAATAAAAGAGGTATATGACGCTATCTGTTACGGTGAAGGGTACGATCGATATGTACACAAAGCTAACTTTTCGTGTTGGACCGAGGATCGAACTTTTAACCTCAGTTTTAGTCTATATCTTTACTAATATAAACCTGAAGAGTTCGTTTGCTTGTTTTAACGTGCTAAACACAGGAAAAAATATTCTTGTGTTGGTTAGATCATTTATCGAGGACGACTTTGGGCTATAAAAAATCACACTGCACAGTGACAAAAACGTGCGCTTTAAAAATAACTTGTGATACCTATAAAAATGTTTAAGAAAGTTTTCTTCTTTAAATGATCTATCTATGACCTATGTATCTTTTAAGATTAACTTGCACGAATGACGGGATGTGGACGACGTAGTGGGTAGCAGAAAAAATGTATAACGCTGAGGAGGTTGTTTTCAAAAATAAAATTTGATTATGAAATTACTATTCCATGCGGACGAATTTCTCTCCTAAAACGAATTTTAAACTAGCTCTTGTATTTGTAGTCAAGGAGAACTTCCCGTATTGAAGAAACGACATAAGAATTGACTAGCAATTTATAAGACGTTTGTTTTCAGAATCTAAAAGCAGTCCAATAAATTTTGTTACCGGTGCAAAAATGCGTAGTTACAAATTAACTTGCTGCCTGACCAAAAAAATACGCCTTCGACAAAGTTCTTATCAATGTTGATGAATGTAGTTTTTGTTAATTTTTAAACAGGCGTCTACGATTCTTTCTCTTATTTAGTATCTTAATTGTGTAATTCGAGTTATATTAAAATCTTTTGTTATTCTTAGTCTTGTCCTAATGATAATTCTTAGGAATTTAGGTGCCATTAAAATACTTATATACTTAATAAATGAACACGACATTGATAACATAAGTTTATTCCTGTTAAAAAAAATTGTTGAACATAATAATGTTAATTTTATTAATTTTATTTACGTAGATTTTAAAGACGTTAATCTAACAATTATCTGTTTTCAACAACAATAGCTGAAGTTTATAGAGGCTGTACAGAAATTACATTATCTGGCATATTTGATGTTATTATTATAAGAAAGGAGTAAAGCGTGAGAATCACTTGATGCAAGAAATACCCCACAATCATAACATCTCAATATCTTGCGTTGTCTTTGGATATTCGAAAACCAAGACTGAAATCGATACGCGATTAAATATGGCTTTACAATCAGAGAGAGAGAGAACTTCGGCCCGACGTTTCGGATGCTTTGCAGCAGCCGTGGTCACGGGGCCGAAAGTCGGGCCGAAGTTAAAAATCATTTTCAAATAAGTTTAACTAATATATCGCGTTTTAAACCGTTAAAGTATTTTATTTAAATGTGTACTGCTCGCGTAAACTATAGACAGGACACAGAAATGTGCTACGAGGGGGAAACGGGCTATCACTAGGATTCAAATTTAGAACCATTCGCCCAACCAAATTATCATCGTGTTAAATAAATAATCCATACGTGGATTATTTATCGCCTACAGGCGACCAGAATTATATACTTGTAAATGAAACTGGAGCTGGTCAATAAAAATCTTAAATGTGTAGAAAATTTTAAACTAGATAACCGATATCTAGTTTAACACGACTGTTTTAATATTGATAAGTTATATCCGCGACAGTGCTCGAGTGACGCAAAGTGAGCCCAGAAAAACTGAAGTAATGGTACGCGGACGAACAGTGAAAGCTGTTTGATGTTCTACTATGTTGTACTGTAGGTACCGCGAGCTATTCGGAACGGGTACCGTGATAAGAAACTATCGCTTATACTCGCTCCAGTATATAGCACTAGAAAATGCAACTAGTTTTTGCGTCTGTGCACTTATTTTTCTAGCCAATTATATTTACTACAGCGCTAGACATAAGTGCGAAATACATTAACCAATTTTCGTATCGGAAAATAACTGCATTGTGATACTAGCTGTGGCTGCGGCTACGTCCGTGGAGAATAGTTATTTTCAGTTTTAAAATTAGTTTTTGCAAATTGGGAAATGTGAAAATTATTCATTTTTGAGAATTTTCATTGCGTGCGCTTAACGGTTCGTCATACCCCAAAAATATGTATCAAAGAGTGATTCTTCGTTAATAATCTAAATAATTTCCGCGTGGTATATATTTTTAGATTAACCTGCAATAAGGAAGGGACGAAAGAACGAGGAAACGAAGAGGATGAGGTATGCAAAAATATATTTTGATGCCCGAAACACTAAAACGAAGTCGTGGGCGCAGCTAGTAAAATATAAAGATAAGAAAGACGTTTGCAAAAACATATTTTAATGGTTTGCAGCAGCCGTGGTACTAACATAGTGGCAACTTATATATAGGGCGTATTAAACCGTTAAAGTATTTTAATTTAGTGTGTACTACTCGCGTAAACTGCAGACAGTATTTTTGTTACGCGGACGAAGTAACAGCCACAGCTAGTCTTAGATAATGCTGGCATCAACACTAGGAGCCGTGTTACAAAGCACGCACCTAAAACCCTTTTACGTAAATGCTATCACAGACTGCATAGTCATGAAATATTAAGTATTTCCTAGACAACTTTCAATAGAGCTTAGTATTACGTAGAGGGACAATATGATATGAGCACGGCAGTGGGCTGTACCCCTAGTATAAGTTTCTATTTACGAAATCGTGAGAAACGTATATTTTAAACCGTTAAAGTGTTTTATTTAAATTTGTACTACTCGCGTAAACTACAGACAGTATTCACTTTTGAGTGTTTGGTATTCTGATCGCTTGTAATTTTTAATTTTAGAGTTAGTGCTCTGAATTCGATCCCTGCACCATGGAGATCCTCTGACGACTAGGATCTTCAAACTTAAATGCGAAATATATTAGTTAACTTGTTTACAATTTATTTTAACTATGACCCAACTATGGAGTTTAAACTGTAGTTGAAAAAAAAAAACCATTTAATCGTTTGTTTTATTGTCGCCCAAAAGCATCCGAAGCGTCATAGTTAAAATAAACTGTAAACAATTTAACTTAAATACTTCGCGTTTAAAAATGTTTTATCACCAAAATATTGTAAGAAGCAAAATCTTTATGTTTTGGCTGAAACAAACGACTGTAGAGTGAGCTTTCGCGCGCAACCGTGAAAATTGAAAATATTTCATATTTTCGTATGTATTGAGTTGATGTTGCAAATGTATCAATAAGTGAGTTTAAAAAGTCATAAAATTTAGATTGTCTCTAAAGTCATATTATTGCTTAAAAAAATTCTTTAATGACAAGGCAGCCTGCCAGTACTATGAATTGCTCCTTGGCTTATTGTATTCACAAAAATGTATTAGTTTATAAGACACGTTGAAAAAAGACAGACTGAGTTTCTTGGGCGTTCTTCTCGGTCATGTTGCTCTTTGGAACATTCTGTGGAACCACGACGGACAGACAGACAAACGTTTTTAATTTTTTGACGAATCTAAATAATTTAAAAAATTAAGACAGTTAAGTATCTAAATAAAACACTTTAACGGGTTGAAACGGGATATAAATTTGATAAACTTATTTGATTTTTTTCACTAATATATATCACATTTTAAACCGTTAAAGTGCTTTATATAAATGTCCACTCCTCGCGTATACAACTATAGACAGAATGAAGTAGAACTTTTTTTTTTTTTACATCCAGCCAGTATTTTCGCCCAACGATCTCGCGCTAGGCCCTCTGGAGTCGCGTTATCAGTCGCGGTAGACTCTAATCACTTTCGTTGCAACCCCGCGAAGGAGGTCGCCGGTCGCACTATCGCGCAGGCGCGCACAACGCGACGGCACGCAGTCGTTCCCGCGCAGCAAATGCGCGCAGGCGTGCGCTCTCTCCGCGCACGTTTTGCGTCCATTACGTGTTCGACACCCGGCCGTTGCCGGGAATGGAGACCTGCGCGATCACAGCTGCCGAGGACCTTGTGGGCGACCAGGTATGATAGTGACTAGCGTGATCAGTGATTTTAAACGTGCAAATGTTCTAGCCGTGCGCGCCGCCAGTGTATTTCGCTACGGAAATACGGAGGAGCAAAACATGTGCGTATTTGTAACAGGGAACCTTTTGGATAACTGTTCTTCAGTGCTTTTCGGCACTCGCTCGTTGAGTTACGATCTGTACAAAGTTTTCTCAACGTCTAGATCTTAAAATCGCAGCGCGCTCGTGCAATTTATTTATAAGCACACATAGGATATGTCAAATTAAACAGAAAATTTTGTTTCCGAATGTAACTGTAATAACGCTGTAAAAACTCTTTGAAATACATAATTTTCGCACTTAATAACTCTCGGCCAGTTTTCCGCCGGCGAATTCTAGCCACCTCCTAAAATACAAGCACAGTACATTTAATAAAAACGGTTGTATCAATAAAACATAATCTCTTATCAATAGAACGTTATATTACCAAAGTTACTTTATAATCAGTTTATTCAACTATTATCTTAATTATTTTCAACCTCTAGCCGTTTTGTGATTAAATTTAAATATAATGCAAATAGACATAAAAAAATATCTCAGATAATAATTTGAATAGCGATTAAACAGTATTCTTAAGAAAATTTAGCCTATTACAATTATTTATAATAACACAGTAACTATTTTAAATAAATCTTTAACAGTTTGAAACGCGATTTATACAGGTTAAACTTGATTGAAAAATATTTCAACTACGGCCCGACGTCTCGGATGGTTAGCAGCAGTCTCCACGTGTTAACTTTAAACGTTGAAATAAGTTTAACTAATAAATATCGCGTTTTAAACGGTTAAAGTGTTCTATTTAAATGTGTACTACTCGCGTAAACTACACACATTGTTTAATCGCAGTAACTAGTAAATTGAGAGTTAAACCGCTGAACATTGTTCGTAATTAGGTGAATAGATCAATTATATAGGAGGAAGTGTTCGCGTAAAAAAGACTTCAACGCCCACCGACGGTCCATACTCGTTATGCGTGCGAGTTTTTACTACAATAAGTTTCTTATACATCGTTTGAATGTCTTCATTAAAACATTTATATTTTTTCACATTGAATAATGACATCGCTTTGAGGTTAGCTTTGGATACCTGAAAACAGCCCTAGTCGTAATTAAACTAAAAACATTATTCAAACACAATAATTTTTAAGGGAAATTGAAAAAGACATTTTCTATAGTTTACACGATTAGTACATATTTAAATAAAACACTTTAATAGTTTAAAACGCGATATATATTAGTTAAACGTATTTCAACTACGGCCCGACCGCGACGTTTTGGAATTATTCAATGAAGTTTAATAAATCGCCTTTTAAACCGTTAAAGTACTCTTTAAAGGGCGTGTTCTCTTATATTATAAAAAGTCAAGAGATTCAGTTCAAATAATTGTAATTCGAAATTTGAATTCACCGCTTCTTCAATTGACTGTACACCTGAAGAGAAGCTACAAATGTGTTAATTTATAAATTAAAATTCTTTCTAAAACTACCTTCTATACTATTGTATATTATAAACTGCTGTCCATACTAAGAATATACCAAGAAGAATCATACAAAATAAAATTGATAACATTATTGACATGCTCGTCAATATTAAAAATAACGTAGATTTGGTTTAGTTCACTCCCCAACAACCACATTTACATTTCGTCGATAAATGAACAACGAATTCTAAACCGCAGTATACAGCCACTTTTACTAAATGAATAAAATATTTGACTCGAACAATTTGTATAAAACAATAATATCGTATCGTATACGCGATTAAAGATAAAATTTATTGTTGAGAGTTCACATATTTTGGATGAGAATTTATAACTAATGGGCTTTCTATTGAAGATTTGAGGAGACATTAGACGATGGCGAATAAATTAAAAGGTCATACTTAATTTATTGGTGAATTGAGTTTTCACATTTTTACCTACGGAAATGCTTACTTGGTTATCGGTAAATGAAACTGTTTATATCCATTTTTGTGAAATTCAACAAAAAATGTTTCATTTGCTTTCATTTAGTTTAATTTCAAACTGTAAATATTCCACTGCTCGAAACAGGTCTCCCATATATTTTTATACTAGCTGCCCCGCGACTTCGTTCGCGTGGAATAGTGACTTGGGGTAGAATAGTGTGGAATAGTACTTGGGGTGTAATTATTTAGGCTGTTTATTAATTTATGTAATTGCGCATTTATCGCAGCCAATCTATGTTGTAAGTGCTACTTTGCGGCAACACTCACCTCTACACTCTACTCCTAAGCCCACCCCTATTCCCAAAAAGCCAAAGAAGAAAGTTTCATTGTTCTAGCTTCAAAAACTCCATACAAACATTCACACTTCCCCTCCCCCTTTAACCTCTTACAACCCCATTTTCGCAATAAAAAGTAGCCTATGGTCTATTTCTCATGGCTAAACGAGTTTACAGTGGTTATTAAAGGGGGTCTGAAGTTTCGGTGTGGAAAATCGTGGTTATTTGAAGCTAGACACAAAGAAACTTTTTCTTTCGGCATTTTGATATGAGTGAGATTTTGAAGACAGCACTAGGAGACTACATCGGAGGTGGAGTGTTGCTTGTGCAGAGAACACGGTGAAATAAAGATTGGCAGCGATAAAGCGGGTCGTCGGCTCGATTACCACCTTAATAACAGTTATAATCAAATTATAATTATCCACGCGAACGAAGTAGCTGTAGCTAGATTTGAATATAATTTGACTAACTTCACCTAATGGCTTGACCCTAACGTAATTCCGAGTATCAATAGCTATTAGTACCAAGATGTACATTGTGTTTGTATTTTGCGAGACATAACTAAATTTACATAAAGCGTAACGCAGTAACGTTGCGTTATTATCTAGCATGTCATCCTAAATATCTAAAAACGAATCAGTTTATAATCAAAATCTCTAAATCTACCTTCATATCCGTTCCTAAAGTAATGGCGTAGAACGAACGAGAAGAAGTATCATTGACATCTTCTAATGATGTCCTTCAGTAGTTCATGCCTTTTTTAAATGTCATTTGTTTTCAGATTGTCCCTGGCGGCGGCCGTTGGGGAGCACCACGACTGCTGGACTGCTGGTTTCAGATGCAGGTGAGATTTAAAAAGTATAAATAATTTAAAAATCGAAATAACTTGAAAAACTTTTCGACTCGGGCAGGACTTGAACCGGCTACCGAGTCGGTAGCTCAATTGGCAGAGCAACAGCGCGGAACGCTGACGATGCCGGTTCAGGTCCTGCCCGAGTCGAACAGTTTTTCAATTTATTTTCGATTTTAAAATTATATAGTGCCTTCATGTGCAATAACTTGTAAACAATATTAATGTTTTCAAGTATAAATAATGTTTAAGATCTGCTAATTATAGATAGGGAAATAGAGCTTATGAAAGTACATTTTTTTTAATTACCTCAACGAACACTCAGTAAAACAATTTATTCGTCCAGGACAGTTTTCCTTCTTAAAGCTTATACTAAGCATAAGATTTTTATCGTCCTTCCGTATTTTATTTAAAGTATGTTTTTTAACGGATTCGTTGGTGTAACGGTAGCAACGTGGCTAATAATAATCAACATGCCGTGGGTTCGATCTTCACCGTGTCGAACATTTTTCTAATTCATTTATATTTTTTCTGAAACATGTTGGACGTTTGAATATATGGATAGTTTGTGGGACTATTGAAATTTCAGTCCGGGCCACGAATTACGTCCACAGATGAAAAGCCGTGAGGTTTAATCGCCTTTCGATTTTAGTCTGTGGATTTCCGAATCCAAAGCGAAAATAGGTCGAACAGCGAATCTTGTTTAGATGTTATGACGTGAGAACTATGCTTATCTGCCTTCTCTATCGTAAAAAAAAAGTATTGAATACGACAAAGTCGACACAAACTACTTTGGAGGCTTTTATAAATATCTAATGTTTTAAACTTAATAACATGGGACCGCCTTCTTTTTCTGTCAAAATTGAATATTACTTATATACTTAAATTAAATCAATACCAATATATAAAGCTGAAGAGTTTGTTTGTTTGAACACGCTAATCTAAGGAACTATGGGTTCGAATTTAAAAGTTCTTTTAGCCATAAAACACTGCCCTGCTTGTATTAGACAAGCGAAGATACAGCGAGAAATGTGAAATTAGGCGTACGTGACAAAAAAGGTTAAAGATGAAGAGGAGGTTTGCAAAAACAAATTTTTATGTCCGAAATTCTACGCGGACGAAGTCGCTGGCGCAGCTAGTTATTTTATAAATGTTAGTTAAGTTACTTGGTATACGTTATGTATCGTCAAAGGTATTACACATACATAGGTTTTGTTCCCCTAAATTTCGTTTTAACTATTGTTGTACTTTGTTTTTGGTTAGCGAAGATTATATGACGTTTATTATACTAAAATTAGGTCTAATCTAAGTAGATGTCTATAGTGTATACCGATTTACTTCTACTCAATAATAATTTAATATTGAACAGTAATCAAAGTTAAAGATGGCTCTTAAGACATCGCACCATACGAACGTCACTTCGAGAGCATATTTCTACTTGAGATTCTCTTTACAAGTCGAGTAATAACCTAATGAAGAAATCCCTCACGTAATTATTTTAAATAATGCATTCAAATATAGTCCTTATTACCTTGACTTACACATTTTAGCCACGAGTTAGCATGTCAGTGACTTAAGGTATTTCCATTATATTTATAACTGTACTAAATCTATTATTGAGAAGACACGGTCAACGTTTTTAGCAGCTTGTTATTTATACATAAATAGTGATGTATAGATTAAACACTTTTAACAGTTTAAAACACGAAATGTTATGTATAGGTTGACTAACAACTTTGCAATTTTAACTGTGAAACGTCGGGCCGTATGTTACGCGTTTTAAAACGTTAAAAATGTGTTTTTCTGTTTTTATTTGCAATACACGCGTGAATTAAAAACTACTTGATATTAGATGTTGGTTATACAGGCATTTCTTTGTATTTTTTTTTTAAATAGTTTGTTATAGAAGATAACGTCCTGGCTCTCTTCTACGACTACGCTGTCGACCTTTAGTTTTGACCACTAGGAAAAGAACGACTGACGGATTTTTTTTACTCCTACAAAACATTTAATGTCCATATTGTCTTAGTTTTGAAAAATTTTGAAAATTATTACAAAACAAAACCGCTAGTATAACCGATAGGTCAAGTTAACCCGAGAATTATCTATTTTTTATATAATTATTATAAACAGGAAATTTAATTCAAATTAATATCCTACGAAATCGTCTACTCAATAGAGAGATTCCACATTAAAAAGTAATGATCTTCACCGTGTCAATTTCAACCATTGAATTATCCATCGGACTAATGTAATTGTAAATGTTTAACTAATTTTCCAGTTGAAATGATATCCATCAAACGCATTAGTGGATAAATATATAGAACAAATTGTGTGGACACAAATTTATACGGTTCGTAAGTGCAAGGTTTGTGAGCGCGCATCAACCGTGTCGCGCATGGGAATAGCATCGATTAACCAATTCTCGCTTGGCATTTTAAAAATCGAACACTCTTATCTGTGCCCATCTACAGACCACATATTTATAGTCTATGCTCAATCGGGATATCTATGTTTGTCTATTGTAGAACGAGAGTGATCGTAACGCCACAGATAAAATTACTTTTAATAGACTAAACTATTTTTTTTTTAAATTTCGCTTTCCTGCAATCAAAAGTGACGCTTCAGTTTATGAAATTTTGCTAATTATAAATCATATTTTTTAAACTCCCGCCAGCAAAACGCTTAAAACTGCATGTGCTTAATTTTTAATTTCCGAAACGCTATTTTGTAATTTAAATGGGCGATATTAATCATTTTCGTAATAAAATGCATAATTTCCGATTGTTTATTGATTTGATAAAGCAAGAAGACCTTGTGTGAGTTGAAAAAGTGGTTTCTGTTATCAACTAGCACGCAAGGGATTGCGTATACACATCGCTGCTGACGAGTGTTGTTAATCAATTACAATAGTGGTAATTGTATAACGTGGCATAATGAGAAGCATATAATATGCCGTTCATTCTTTTCATTACAAAAAGCACATCTCAGTTATATATTTTACTAATAGCTTTTACTCAACTGACAAGATATTGTTTTCAATGTTATGACTAGGTAGGTTCAATTTAATGCTTAGTAGTATCAAATCTTAGCAGAAAATTAACATAGATTTCATAAAAGATACAAAATATAACGCTCTCTATAATAGGAGTACTTAAGTGCGTAAGTTTTAGCTAGGACTTTAAATTATTTACAAGTAGTTGGTTCGGTGCTCCATCCCATTATATTCTATTCCTAAAAGTCTGATTTAGCAATTATGACCATAGATTATAAACCCGGCCAGTCAAGCGCATAAAGGAAGTCACAAGTTTGTATTTATTACATGCGGTGTTCACTCATGTGCGACCGGCCCTATTGATATTATGCACGATATTTAAATATAGAGTTCGAAAAAGTTGCATTTTGATGTCTACTAGCGTTTGAAAAAACATTTGTTTCGTATTGATAGGCTATAATTGGTCTAATTGATAGAGCATAGACAATATCCACAGAGAAAAGATTTTTGCATCTATATTTAAAAAAAAAGTTATAACGATCACAGGATCGAAATTCAGCCACATCTTAAACTGTCTTATGTGTTGTAGAATTTTGTATGTAAATTTAGTCTCTTTATAATAGATTAGATTAAAATTATTGTATGAGAGTAGTAGTAGATGTTATACTTGTTTATTAAAACAAAGGACTATAAAGGTTTTTCGCGAACACGCAATTCTACAATAAACTTGAAGTTATTAGTAAGAAAAAAATTAAAATACTAAAATGGTAATATTCTGTTACGAATTATTTAAATGAAGGAGTATTAAATGATGAGCGAAGAATAGACAATAAGGGTGATTGACAATTTTATCACGTTGCAAAAATTATTTATTATTTCATTTGCAAACGACGAAACGAAGTGTACATAATAAGAAATCGGCTCTAATTTGATATTTAATAGAACAATAATATTTTCTAATGCTATTTCACATGACAAAAAATATAAAGAATGTTTTTTTAGATAAAAATGATGTCGATTTAAGTCCCGACCGTGTCATCGACTTTTTTAAATCATTTTTTTTCATATTCAATTATCAAAAGTCTCTTAGTCTCTGTCTTTAGGGGTAAACACTGCTTTTATATCTTTTGCGTGCATTGCGTATACAGTTGATCTGCAACTCATATTAAGTAAGTTCAGTTAAAAATAAAAATATCGTTCTGTTAGTTAGATTTCAACTTTAAATATCAGGGAAGTATAATATGTAAATATTTCTTCGAAGATCGCATAACGTATTATTTTACAACTTTAATATTATAAACTAGTTAATTGCGAGAGATGCATATATCAATAGGTTGAAAAATTAGACGATGACGTGTAGGATACGGTAGTTTAATTAGAGCACGGAATGCTGTAGATGCCGGTTCAGATCCTGCCCGTGTCGTAATTTTTTTCAATTTATAATCCATTTTTTATGTATATAGTTCGATCGATACGAACTTCGATTGAGTACGTACAAAATGATGTAGTCCATTATACCGGTGTGCTGTCTGTTGTTCTTCCTGATACAATAATTTTATTATTTTTTATACAGATCGAACCAAGTCGTGCGCAGGGTTTCATAGCAATAATTATAAAATACGAGATAACTACGTGTCGTAGGGGGAGCTCCCTCAAGTTTTTAGCTTATTGTCAATCAGAATTTTATACTGTCTATAGTTTATGCGAGTAGTACACATTTAAATAAAGCACACAAATATATCCGCTAGCGTTGCGGTTTACTTTGACATTAGAGACACCCTCCTGTCTATCTGTAGACTCCTCGCGACTACGGCTGCTGCAAGCATCCGAAGCGTCGGGCCGTAGTTAAAACAATTTGTAAACAAGTATAATTAATATATTATACGTTTTAAACCGGTAAAGAGTAAATTTTAAAATTTAAAATTATAAAGGTTGTCAATCTTTGTCTTGCGACGGCACTAAACTGGGTTTAACCCATTTAGAGTCTGGTGTACAATGAAAAA